CACCCGTGTCGTCCGCATTTGGCATTTGCGGTGTTTGCTACCTATCCGAGCATATGAACAACGACGTTTGTGCCATTAAATCCATGCATAACCGCTTCCAAAGCACTCTGTATCGTAGTTTGTACTCGAATGCATTCACTTTCACGGGAAGCTTCTTATGCAAAGAAGCTGTTTCACAGCCCTGTCCATTCCCGCCTCGCCATCCCATGCCGAGCAACACAGCACGGCACGGCGGAAGGGAATAATGCGAGCTCGCGCAAGGTCAAGAATTTGATTTCTGCCCGAGACGTGTTTTGACCATTTGTTTTCGGCCTTGGTTTCGTTATACAGAGTGTGGTTAGAAAAAAGTGCGTTTTTCCAGGAAGCAGGCAGAAGCAAAGTACGGAGTGATGGCTCTCCACAATGCCAGCTTGATCCTGATATGCGGGATGATCGGCTGTCGGAAAGGCGACACACATCCCTCCCAATCCTACCAGTAGTTAATAGTGTCGTTTCGTGGTATGCATGTTGAAACAATGCGTTAGGACCAAGCCTCGATGCAGTAGTTATTCAAACGTGCCGAATAATTCCCGGGAGTAAAAAGAAGGTAAAAAAGGGAGGACCGTAAACTGCGGCCAACAAAGCATATTCAGAGTAAGCTTACTCCGTATAGTTGATCTTGATTGCTTGGTTCAACCTCGCGATCATACACACTACATACATATGCAGCAGCTCATGTGAGTTAAGCTTGGATCAATCAGCTTCTTCATGCTTGAAGACGAGTGATTTGATTTGCTGTGTGAAATTAGAAATGTGACGGGTCAACCAGATCTTTTGACTGAGCCTGCCTTATCTGCTGTTGAATGGGGGCTGGTTACTTGGTGCTCGATTTCTCTTCCACCTTTCGCATATCGCTGTCGTTTTCGGAATAGGATAGGCTGTAAAGTAGCTTTTTGAGTATGCGGGACCGCTCCTTTTACTTTTGAGGTACTGGCACAAGGTCTAATACGGGCGACGATCTTGGGATCCCGACTATCTGGTCGCGGCGTTGATGCCCAGCGGTAGGTATATGGGAAAACGAGAATAATACTCCGTACTCCGGAAAGTAAAGGACGCTGGCATGGAGCAGACTCGAGGCTCTAGAATGGCCGAGTCTAGCAACATCCTCCAAGCGATCATCCAAACGCCTGATGGTGCAGCCGTGAGGTTGCGCGATCAATTCGCCGGTGAGCAAGGCAGCGAATCGGAAAACATGCACTCCGAACCTTTTGCCGAATGAAGACATTCCATAGCATTTCTCGTGAGATTTCTGGAGGACAAGCGAGACGTTTAGGGCATTTTAAAGGAGGAATAACGCTCATGCAAGGGCGGAACTATGTTTTTTTGACTTTCCACTCCTCCCCTCCCAGTAGAGAGAAGGTTGTCTCTCCGATTAATAGTACTGCGGAAAAATGGGATACTTTCAAAGAATTTTCGAAAAATACCAGGGTCCAAGCACGGTCCAGGTGGAAACTGTGGCTTGAAACCGAATCAGAATGCGCGGTGGAAGAGCCATGTGTTACACGGAACTCATCCCGGAGAAATGGTCACCTGATGGCCTTCTTCCCTGACTGTCATGGTGGTCGGATGAACGGCATACCACTAAGAGGACTAGCTCGTCGTCAGGCTGAATTTCGCACCAGACAGTCGGGGGGGAAACAACATGCGGCTGCAGCGGCTTGATCAAGTCATGTCCTTGATTGGCTTGCGGTTCTCTTCCCTGGGCCTCGGCCAGCGAGGAGTCCTGGTTCTCAAATTTAATGGGAGATCTGGCTGGAGTGTGGAAGGATGGTTATAGGAATGGATGGGATAATAAGGGGGGATCTGAGATATATTTAGGATGGCTGTACTGCGTAACTGAGTGCTTCCTTGTCAGCAAAAAGCTGGGATACCGTCTCGAATGTGAAACTTGCCCTTGCTCGCCGGTATGCAAAGCTAGTTATAATAATACTTGCACATATCAAAGGTGTCGTGGCCCTAACGGGATCACAAATCCGGAATCTTCGACGATGGACAGCTTGGTGTGATCGGCATTCGGCTCAAGAAAAATACCTAGCTAGCCTAAGAAGGAATTTGCTGCGTTAAGATTATTTGTGCCGGCTTTTTCCTTTGGTCGATAGTTCGCTGAGTCGTTGTTCAAAAGACTTCTTCAGCGAAAGAAAAGTCTGACTTTCTGGCCACAACGGTATCGATGCTTGTCAGGCAAGCTAGAAGGAAAAGAAAATACCAACGGCCAAGCAGTTAGGTTTCCCTATTCCCAGCAGAATGGTTATGGTTGCGATTTTGAATTCGAGCCGAGCAAGCTTGCTTGAACCCAGAGTTTGCTTTTCGATTGTCTCCAGGAAAGAACATCAGAGAGGAGGGCTGACTTCTCAGGCCTCGTATCAACGGCTCTGGAATCAGGAGAACATCTCGAATACGATCGTGATCATAATTTCTTTTCTGCCCTGTCACCTTTTGCGCTGTCGTTTGGTTGGGTTGGGCTCGTCCTTGGGTGGGTCAATCTCAGTAGGGCATTTTCAGCCCTGGTCCATGGATCTAGTGGAAATTCGCGAGAGAATAAGAAGAAGAATAATCACTCCTGGGCTCTGCCGCTCTGGAACGTCGCATTTGACCGTTAATCTTGGCTGGGGCTTGATCACCAATAATAGGCAAAAGAGTCGTATGTAGCCATCAACGTTTGCTTCCTCATGCAGGCAACAGAGTGCCTTGTCTTCATCAAATGGACGAGCTATTATTAGTGCTTATCAGCGTTTCACTTTGGCTAGAAGAACTCCCACGTGGGATATTGAGTTTGTTCGTATCGACACAGCTGTCTTCGAAGAATGATATCTGGCAGGTCAGATGCCCAGGACAAATCTCCTTTGTGCAACTGAAGGTGATCTAGAACAATCAGGATAGCCCCTTGCGCGCTGTCATACTCCAGACTACCGAGGTACCTCCAGAGTGCCTTGATCGAGTGGACAAGGAAACCCGTCAAAGGGGCACCGAAAGGTTACAGCCGCGATGGCAATTCCAACGACATGATTACATCATGCACCAGTACTCGAGACGGGGATGGATTACGCACCCGCCCCCAAACTGTCAACGAGCAGGGCGGACGCACCGCAAGCACTCGCACCCAATCTGCATCCCGTGATCACTCTGTCTCGGGCGGGAGTCCAGGCACGATGGCCCGGATGAAAATGAAGAGACTACCCTGCTTGGTGTGTTGCCTCGTGGCTCCTTTTTCGCCTTCCTGTCCTGTGATGACGATGTAGACTCGATGCGGAACATCCGGATACGCAATGACATAATGACTTCTATCTGGCATGAGGATGAATGGTCCTGTTGGAGAGCCGGCAGAGTTTTCTCATCGCTTGGGCAACATAGAGAGGGTCCACAGTCTTGACTTTCGAGTCTCGCGCGACGGGAATCATGCTTAATTTTAGGCTTGTTTTCCTCTCGTGGATTATCCCTATCCTGGTGTTCTGGCTCATTATTGTTTGCTTCATTGTTCTTGGCATTATCATTCACTTTCTCTGTCGTCGTCCATATTATTTCAAAGCCTGGGAATCAGTGCTTGAAGCCGAGCGCGAGGCAGAAATAGAAACGCTCTGTTGCGCCAGTCGGCCGGATGAGACAGGATAAATCGATGTATCGCGTGAGTTGACCTGCAACCAAGGTCATGTTTCAAGGGAAGGGCCCCCTGGATCCTTTTAATTGGTGCTTTTTTAGCGAATTGCCAGCACACCAAGATGAATATCCAAGACAACCAATTATTATACATGTGGTTGTTCTGAAATCCCACAGATCACTGGGTGTTTCGGAAACGAGTAGATCTGCAAGACTTTTTTCGACAAGTTGTCAATCCTGAGTACATTATGGCGAGAGGGAGACTCCGTAACTAGCGGTTGATATATTGTTCTGAAGCTGAACGAACACCATCCTTTTTTAGGTTGACTTTTTGGACCCTGAATATCGGGTAAATCTTAGCTTGCTGGAGCATCAAACTGAACTCTTTTCTCTGCTGGAAAGACTTCGATCAGTCTGGCCGGTTTCCTTGGGACTTGGGAAGCCGTGGCTCATGCACAAGGGGATGTGGAAACAAATAAGTAAAAGAGAGTTATCGACCTTTATCCGTTTTCATCCATCGTTGACATCATCCCTGCCATCACTTTTTGCTCTGGTGCTTGGTGGCTTTTTCGTTTCTCGTCATCCACTCGCGCCGACCAGCTCCACCGTTTATTTCTTCGATCCACGTCAATCGCCATATTGATCTGCTCTTTTCGCATTCCCCAGTGGACAGTCTCGATTTGGATTGCCTCGGTGATGAGGGCACAACCCTGCATTCGCATGATATCTTCCTTCTTCCCTTTCTGATCAACAGAAGCTCATCCGTGTCGAGATCGTCCCTGTGATTGGTGAACAAGGACCAGGCTTGGAGGGAAGAATCGGGCATGTGAGTATATGCACGCACTCCTTGCATGGAACCATTCGACGATCAAACGTAATCCCACCATTCCATCCGTATTATTTCTGTTGTGCCAGAAGAGCAGTGCCCGTCCATACTGCGTCGTATGGATGGAGAAAGCACGCAACAGAAATCTTTATTATTAATCTACCAAGACGCTCGTGATATTCTTGGTCTATGATCAGGACATGTTCCATTATTCGACCGGAAGTTGACACGAGAACAAATCGCTGGGCCAAGGCCTGGATCTGACTATTGTTTTGACACTCACTAGTCGCCTGGCGCTCAGTCTGCCCTACAAGCCTCATCCCTGACATCCATGAACGGAGGAATTCTGCCTCAGGTTGTGCGCTTGATTTGAGGGAAGTTGTAAACGAACCGGTGAGGAGAATTGCCGCCTTGCTTGCTTGTCTCGACTCTTGCGGCGTTTTCGCCCCGGTCTCTTCGGGGAGTATGAAGCAGTAAAAGCGGCTGTTGCTTCTCTTCCTGTCGGTGGAAATGTGCTGGCCCACTCCGTTCAGCCGTCTCTTCCCGCCTCTGACTCCCATGACCACTCTGGATTCCAACACCGACGCCCCTTTCCAAACTCCACAGAAGTAGCAGCAGTAGCAGAAGCAGCAGAAGCACTGTAGCAGCCAGCCCGAGCCAAGCCGCTGAAAAGGCCCCCAAACCATCAGCTCACGGATTGGCTGACGGGGTATCAGGGCAGCAGCTCACACCCCTCCCGCAGATAGGCTCATATTTCTTCGTGGCCATCTTCGTCACCGGTATCATCGATTCTTCAGGCTGCGTCAGGGATTATTTTAAAATAACTTTATCGCTGCAGCTAATCACCAGCACTCGATCGGCCTCCTGACCTCTCATTTGCTCGTTTTCCCTGCTCTCATCGTCCTGCTCCGTGGTAGTATTTCCTCTAGCGCTCATTTTCCACCTCCATCAAGGGCCATTCCCCCGTTGCTTTTTCCTCCTCTAAACGTATTTTAATCTTCCCTTGGCCTGTTTTGTGATTATTATTGCTTTTCATCGCCCCCTGCCTGTCACGTTTTTGGCGGCTGCTGTTTAACTTTCAACCTTCTTCAACCTGGTCCAAGTGTCTTTTCTGAGCCCTCCAAGCTTGTGTAGAGCGGTCTCTCGGCGGGGATCGAACGGGAGAAGTCCGCATCGAAGCAGCGCGGAGTCGTCGTTTTGCCTGAGCGTCGCCGGGCGTTCCCTTTGTGCGTCCGATCCGTGACGGCGAGCCCACCACATTGCGACCACACCCGGGGCTGGGCTGTGTGATTTGTGGCGATACCAGGACGACTACCAAGCCAGCTGTAGAGTTTTGAGCTAATTTCCTCAGACTTGACCGTGGGACTTCACCAACCATCGCCGTCTGTTTCTGCCCGCTGTTCCAATCACGGCCGGCTCTCGCCAATCGAGTCCTCTTCTGACCCACAAAGGGGATCGCAGTGTTCGTCCCTTGGGAACTCAATGTGTCTGAGACCCAAGGGTGTGGTTTAGTGCTCAAAGCTTTTTAATAATAAGGACGGACATGGCCTTTTGAGTGGTGAAGCGAGGAGGCAGAAGGGGAGCAAGAAAAATAAGATCTCGCCCACCGGCTCCAAACCATCACGAACCCCTCCATCGCCCAATTCTCTCCAGCAAGCACAAGCAAAAGAGACTTCCTGCGACCCCGTGTTTCCTGTCGATCCGCAAACTCTCGAAAAGAAACTTCATCGCTGCAGCTTGAAGCGCGGGGAGCCAAAAGGCGAAACGGGAGGTGCAGCAAAGTTTCGTCTGCATCATCGACGAGCCTCGAGAACGCGCGCCGCTTCGAGATATCTCACTGCTCACGCTCTTCGCATCACCGTCCTGCTGGCCTCCAACGCGAATTGGAAATTGCCATCGTCAGAGATTACTAATAAGTCGTCAACTCCGGCCTCCAGGCTCGCCACACCGACGCACACACACGCACAACTCTCGCTCGCACACACACGCTCTGCTTCCTCCGCCTATTTACACAACAGTCACGTCATCAATTCGGACCAGAAGCTCCGTTGAACTTCTTCCTGGCAGGGTTACTCGAGAGAAACTCACCGTCAAAAGCCAACCTTCATTGCTGATCCTGCGCCCTCGAGGGAGCGTGCGACGCAGAAAGCTTGCCCTTGCAGTGCTGCTCCCAACTTTGTCTTACCCTTTTACACTTTACTTTCCCTCCTCCTAACTCTCGACGGTTTAAGCTACAGCAGTTTGCCCTGGCCGCGCTGCGGTCTTGTTCTCGACCATGGGTAACGGCACGACAGCCGTGTTGGAGCCTACATTCACAGGCTATGTTGCTACGACGCACGACGCCCTGATCCTCTTCGAAGCCTGCCTTACGGGAGTCCTCCATCATGTCCCACGACGGCCGCACGATCGTGAGCGGCCCCAGCTGGTTCGCAGTGGCAGCGTGTTCATCTACGAAGAAAACGCGTCGGGTATCAAGCGATGGACAGACGGGGTGACTTGGAGTCCCAGTCGCATTCTGGGGAACTTCTTGGTCTATCGAGAACTGGACAAGCCTTTCCCTCCGGGCGAGAAGAAGCGAGCGATGAAGAAGAATACCCGGCGTCCGACCCAGCCGACCCGCGCGGGAGAGCCATACCCTCGTCCTCAGACAGAGAGCAACGGCCAAACATATTCTCCATCCGCCACTTCCTCGGGGGGCTCATATGGAGAACGATCTGGACAGTCGGAGCTAGAACGCGCTTTGGTCGGTTCTCTAGTTGATTCATACGGCTTTAAGGATTCAGGATTGGTGAAGAAGACAATGAGTGTGACTGTGTCTGGGGTTACCCACCACCTGGTCTCTTATTACAGCGTGGAGGACGTCATGCGCGGAGTGCTGAGCCCACCCTCTACGGTCGACTCGCTCAAGTACATCAGGCCGCGACCGGAATTGACCACCAAGCAGAGCTTTCGCGCTCCCATCGACGATTTGGAAACTGGCAATATGGAGGAGTCGGACCCGAATCAGGCATACTACGGCTATCGCAGACCTATGGTCGCCCAAGGATATCCGATTCCGAACCCGAATTACTACTCCATTCCCGGGCCCGGTTATGTGCCCCATCCCCAGCAACCCAACGCGATGCCTGGCTATCCGCCTATGCCAAGCCATCCTTCATACCTGCAAAACCCTCCGCCCCATTCGGAGATGCCGCCGAAGACAGAAGACTATTCTACCTTCCGGGGCCCGCCTGCTGGATACGCTCCGGCTTATGATCCCACGAATCAGCAGTTGCATCATATGCCATCGCCAATGAGCCGGCCGCAGCATGCTCCGAATCCCCCAATCTATCGCACACCTTCGTTGCCTGGCCGCAGTGTGCAACCGGAGATGCCTCAGTCTGTAGACCCACACGCGCAGCAAACCCCGACCTCCTATCAGAGGGGCAGCTTCAGTGTTCCGACCCCAATGGATGGAAACCAAGCCATGGATGGTCGAAACGTGTTGGATAACCGGAATGTGCAATCAGAAATCCCCCAGGCCGTGGACACGAATCCCCAGCCGAATCCACCATCCTACCAAAGGAACAGTTTCAGCGTCCAAGGTGGAATTGAGGGCAGTGCTCCGGTTGACCAGCGAAGCATCAGCCAGAAGTTTCCGAGTTATTGAGCTTGTATGCCCTCGATGACGGGCCTTATTGTTTAGGCGTACATCATTAGTGAGTCTACGACATGCTCGCTCCAACTCCCCAACCAAAAGCATCCACTAAGTGTCCTAATAGCTCCCCATTGACCAGCCAGTGGTTCTCAAAAAATCAAAAAAAATCATATTTTTCAACAGGATTTAAATCCTATTGTGGGATAAAGGCGCGATTTCTTCTTTCCTTTCCCGTCCAGGCTGGGCTCCAGATAAGCCCAAGTTATTCTTCTTACTTTATTTTCTGCTGCCAAGCTACTGCTGCACCACACATGCCACAGTATGCTTGCTTATTTTGAAGGTAATCCTAGTGTTATAATGCGAAAAGAAAAAAATCAGGGTGGACAAATTGAGCTTTCTTAGGCATTTCGCTTCTTCCATTACATATGTTTCTCCCTTTTTGTCTTGGCTTTAGCTTGTTTATTTTTAATAACCAGCGCTCCTCTTGGTATATGTATGCGGTTTTGTTTGTTCCCCCCCCGCTTTTGCTTGCCTGGGTTGGTGGTGTGTGATGTGCAACGTGCAGAGAGATTGAAGTTGCTGTTTTTATCCCAAAATTGCTACTTGCATGTGAGGTTCTGTGTCATTCAGTGTATGTATTCAGCTGTGCTCTGTTTGCCTTGGCAACAAGGCTAGCAGAGGACTTCACCTTCTCGTCCAGCTGGCGGCTCCTGTTCCTAGCATTCACTATTCGAAGATTAGTTCACACGATCAATTTTCCCAACTACACTCCAGATCTATTACCACTCCCGAGTCTCTGGTCATCCCCAAAGCTTGAAGAATGGGACAGCTGCATTAGCTTTTATTTTGGGTTAACCAGCAAATAGCTTAACTGCTAGCTTCTTGGAGATTATGGAGCAGTAAGTTAATGCATAAATCGCCGTGATCATGAAGGTTAGACTCCAGAGTCAATCGGGATGCAAGCGGTTCCACCTGCTAAACCGTCGCTTCCCAGCCGCGCGCCTAATTACACTCGCGCCAAGACCGCCCTTGGAAACTCAATCCCCTGAACGACTTTTTTTTTCTCTTGCTGGTCGAGAGGGCGCATCTCTGGCCATCGTTTGGATATACCATTGTGATACCTTTGGAGAAAGCAAATTCTGTTCTAGAGGCGGGCATTTTTACTTGTGCATCTGTAGAATACATGCTGTTTTCCTTCTCTACGCTTCCACCCCAGAATATCTTGTATCAAAGATTGCAAGATGTATTAAAGGGCAGCAGGACTGAATTCATTGAAAAGGCTAAAGCTTGTCAACAAGTCCTAAAAAGCAGTTGAGGAGCCAAGCGCCGCTGCCCCATTCTTTCCGTTTTCTTCCCCAGCGCATCGCCATCAGGACTCTGTTCGCAGGCATGGGTGGTGCAGTCCAGTTCCACGCGCCTCTAAGAGCGATGCGTTCTACATACTTTTCTCCCTTGCTACGTACCGGGCTATTGCGGCGCTCTGCTTCATTGAACACTACTCAGCCTACCCGGCGGATCTCGTCTGGGTCCTGCCTCGGTTCCAGGCATGCTATGGTTTGGGCTGGACATTCGAGAAATGTTGTTTGGGAATGCAATGGTTTACGGTAGGCTTAATGCTGCTTTTCGCCGTGTTTCTAGCTTCTGAGGCTACGGTATGCAGTTTCGATGCTCACTGGTCGAGTTAGGTCGTTTTCTCAGCCGTGGATGAGAATGATGAGTTCGGAGCGACCGTCAGAGAATGGTGGGCGGAAATCGAGCTTGTGGGTGCCCCTTCGCTGCACGACCTGATATTCAGAAACTTCACGAAAGATGTAGTATAGAAAACTAATGGTCCACTCAGAGATACGACATCGACGTTAATCAGAAAGACGCTGACGTCTCGGCTTCCTACTCGTGAGAATATTTATACGATTCCGAATATTCTCACTTTCACGCGTCTCGTAGCGGCTCCAATGATTGGCTACTGCATTCTTAATTCCAACCATGTCATGGCTCTATCGCTCTTTGCTTATGCGTCAATAACTGACTTGGTTGATGGATATATTGCCCGTCGATTTAACCAACAAACGGTTGTCGGTACTATCATTGATCCGATGGCAGACAAAATACTCATGACGGTGGGAGTGATTTGTTTAGCTATGAAATCAGCAATCCCTGGTATTTCCCGACCTCTATATTCACCCCTTTTACAAACAACCGTTCAATGAATAGCAGCTTACATTTATCCTAGTTTGGCTCGCCGGCCTAATCCTCGCACGAGACGTCGGGCTCGCAATATCCGCCATTTACTACCGATGGATCTCCCTCCCGCCACCGAAAACAATGGCTCGATATTGGGATTTTTCTCTTCCATCCGCAGAAGTCAAGCCAACACAAATTTCAAAAGTGAATACTGCCCTGCAGCTTTTGTTAGTCGGATCAGCGGTGGCGATTCCTGTTATTCCTGAGGCGGTATTGAGTGCATGGAGTGTACATGAAGGGATGACGGGATTGCAGTAAGTTTTTCCTCTCCTATATTTTTCGTTTGGATATCTTTCCCTTCCGACTATCCCCGCTACGAAACCTCAAAATCTCAATTTCTCGTGGAGGAGAGAATTATTTCTTACTCGCAATAAATGCCGAGAGAAGAGTAGTCCTAGCACATACGACCACAGGAAGTGGAAAACAGGGCTTCCCGTCCGCTCAGCCGTACTTAAGCCACTTGCCGGCCGGCTAGTAGTTGGGTGGGTGACCACCAGCGAATCCCGGCTGTTGTATGTTTTATGCGCTTTTTGTTTTTCCGCCCCCAAGTCTTCACCGACCAATGCTTGAACGAAATCGGTTCCCTTTTCTTCGATCTTTCAATGTTCCCTTTATTTTGCCGTTTTGTTGTTACTATTCTCAATTTTTTTCCTTCGCCTCTTCAGTACATCGTACGCTAACCACGGTCGCAAAACCCAACTACAGATACCTTGTCGCGCTAACTACCGCCTGGTCGGGCTTGAGCTATGTTTACTCCAAAGATGCAGTTAAGATTCTAAGTAACTCTGAAATCGAAACCCGAATGGCCAAGAAGAAGAACGAGACGCAGAAGGGGCAGGGAAAGGATTGAGCTGAACAGGGCTAATCTGTGAGATTTTGCATATGCCCCAGGAGAGAAATCGATGACGATAATCCACTCTACAGCGTAAGGAGAAGCGATTTCAAGGGCCTCTTGAAAGCAACCCTGCTAGGAACACACAGTAGGCAGTGGGAAGATTAATACGAGTCCATGCTACTATAAACGATCTAGTCAATTACAGTCACGAATCTAGGAAATGAACATCCCACCCTGTGATGTAGGCGATATTTCAGTTTTGAAGGGCCATGATTGTTATCGCTGACTACCTGGAAAAGCATATGTCGGCGATCTGGAAACTTGAGAAAACTCCAGATCCAAGTCGAAGGTGACCAAGCCGATTTCCCAGTTTTCCCATGCCCATAATCAAACCTCCAGACGCGATGCAATCTTATCCAAGTCCAACACCCTCAGGTTCCGTTTGCCCGCAGTTGTGGTCAAATTTGCCGATTGTATGTGCAGTTTAATCAGGCAATCGATGGGCTGCGAGAGATATAGAGTACAGTCCGCCTAGGAAATAGCTACCCGGGTTCCAACAGGAGATATATCTCCGGAAGCTCCGAGCTTTTCCGTTCCCGTTTCCTTGTTTATTTTCCTTTGCCTTGGTGTCCCGTCGATAGGCTACTCATGATGATATCGAATTGAACAAGCAAACTCCACGACTTCCAACACAATTTTGCAGTTAGAGCTGGAATGATTGTATGTCTACCTCCATAATCAGAGGCTTCAATCAGTTCACTTTCCACCATCGCAGAATTGACATTCTAATTTTGTGCAACAATCACCTGTGGAGCCTCTCTTTACTTCAACCTCCCAGTGACACAACCTCTTCCTCTCATCAAATCACACAATTGACCCCCCATGCTCAATACCACTTGCTCTCCATCAGCGATTGCTATTATTCTTGACCTTAGCTTCGACGGAATACATTGAGCAGATATTCCAACTGGCCAAAAATGAACCACTTTCCCTGATTGAGGGTTTTGGAATGACCTCAGAGGAATTAATGAGGATTACAAGAACCTCATTGTTGAGATTACTGGCAACAACTTCACCAGTGTTAGGGATTATTTAGCACTGCAACTGCCGTCAGAATTTCCACCAGAGGACATTCAGACATGAGAATCATCTTCAAAATGATTCACAGTAACACCAATCTGCAACTCAGTTGCTGAGACGTTCCTGGCTTCAGGAACATTCACATTGTTACAACTGAGCCATTGCAGATCATTATACTATTGAGTCTGTAGGGAAACAAACCCCAAGAGCTGAAGAACTCATCAGATTAGCTCAAATGCACTTGGTTCACCAGATGGTTGGCCTCTGAGCTTCTATGCTTAACTGGTGACTATTTAGAGGTAATAGTTATGAGACAACTAACTCTGGGTGAGCCCTGGCATTTTAGATGCAGTCGCATCCATGACGAAGCTGCTCATAGGTTCTTCTTTTAGGGCGCCTTTCCTTGGGCATGGAGAGCTCCGTACTGCCCGCTATGCATGCATTAATATGGGCCAAGGACTTGTGTCTCTGAATCAATTCCCCGTCCGTCGCTTTAACTAATGACTTGGCCTAACTACGGAGGATTTTAGTGACGGAGTTACCCGGGTTAGAGGCTTCCTGTGCCCAGAGCTTTCGATCTCGCAATCATCGGAAAAGCGAATGACCATTGGGGCCAATTTAATCCTGCTTGAAGTTGTTATTCCGCGCTGATTTGTTTTAAAAGGTAACTCGTTATGACAGTTGATCGACTCGCAACCTGCCCTTTTAACGTCGGAACGAACCCATGCAGGACAAGATGCATCCATAGCGATCCCAATCCGATTTGATACGGCGAACCGGCCCTTCTTCTCTTCGAGTATTATTCCTCGGATCCCAGAAATGGGCGACAATGACACAGTTACATTCAGCTGCGCGGGTTTCTGGGCAGCGTTATGGACCGCCCAACATGCTCCCGACAACTCAGCACTGGGCCCCTCGGGACTGGAGAGCAAGCTAGAATGATACTCACATAGCGTTCCCTGCACGCGGGTTCGCCCTGGTAAATAGGAGAGACGCAATTTCTCCTCAGCATCATGGCGACTCTTCCTTCACCATCACTGATATTTGTTACTTCGCAATTCGAATCAGCATGGCAGCAGAAGAAGAAGGAGAGCAAGGCGCTCCCAACCAGACAACGACACCAACGAAGAAAGACTGGCGCTTTTGGGCTATTTTTCCAGCTCTTTGTATGACTACGTTTCTCTCGTCGCTCGATACCTCCATTCTCTCGACGGCACTTCCGACCATCTCGAAGGAGCTACACTCTGGAACGCTCTATATATGGATTACAAACTCGTATCTATTCTCGTCAACGGTCGTTCAACCTCTTTTCGGTCAGATGTCCAACATCTTTGGTCGCAGATGGCTTATGATTCTTTCTGTAGTCTGGTTCGCTCTTGGGAGTGGGCTGGCAGGAGGCGCCAACGGAAACACCTTGATCATCATCGGTCGAACTGTCCAAGGAATCGGTGGTGGAGGCATCAACACGCTCATCGATATCGTCATATCTGACTTGGTACCCATGCGTGAGCGAGGCAAGTACGTTGCGCTGATGGCAGCCATTTGGGCTGTTGGCACAGTCGTGGGACCCGTACTGGGCGGTGCGTTGGCACAACATGCCTCGTGGAGATGGATTTTCTACATCAACCTCCCTCTATCGGCGATATCCCTTGTCCTCCTCTACTTCTTCTTGAAGGTATCCTATCCGCGCGGTGACGACCTTCTCAAGCGGCTTTCCCGGGTAGATTTCGTTGGCAATAGCATTCTTGTCGCCGCCGTTGTCTCCATCCTCCTGGCTTTAACCTGGGCCGGCTCGATCTATCCGTGGTCGTCCTGGAGAATCATTCTGCCACTTACCCTTGGATTCCTAGGGATGATCGCTTTCTACGCACACCAAATGTCGCGTTTCTGCCTTGAACCGTCAATTCCCCTGCGTTTGTTCCCCAATCCAACGTCTTTATGCGCTTTGATACTCGGGTTCCTTTTGTCAATTCTAGTTTATTGGGTCGGCTACTTCCTGCCGATTTATTTTCAAGCCGTGCTGGGCACCTCCGCCACCAAATCAGGTCTCTATGTTCTTCCAATCACTGGTGCCATCACGCCATTCGGTATCGTGGCTGGTATCTTGATTGCAAAAACGGGTAAATACCGGGCACTCCATTTTATCGGGTTCGGCCTCATGTCGCTAGCAGTGGGGCTTTTCTCCCTTCTCGACAGCCATTCAACAACAGGTCTTTGGGTAGGCCTCCAAATACTCTTCGGGGCTGGAGCAGGGCTCATTTTCTCGAGTACACTACCCCCTATCCAAGCATCCGTTGGCGAGGCCGATATGGCCACTGCTACCGCGACCTGGGCCTTTATGCGCAGTTTTGGCTCCGTATGGGGCATAGCGATCCCAACTGCCATTTTCAACGATAAGATAGAATCGCTACTGTTTAGAATCAGCGACCCGTCCCTACGCCAGCAGCTGTCTAGCGGCGGCGCCTATGCTCTAGCAAGTGCTGGCCTGTCGACAATGTTGGGCTCCAACCCGAAGTTATTGGCTGAAGTGATTGGAGTTTACGTGGATTGCTTGCGTTTTACCTGGCTTCTGGCCATCCCTTTTGGTGTTGTTGGTTTCTTGCTGTGCTTTCCAATCCGTCAATTAGAGCTCTCTACGCATTTGGAGACAGAGTTTGGTTTGCAACAAGCGGCTTCGGAAGAAAGAAGAGATTCTGCGTCTTGAATGTTGTTGTCATTTTCTCTATACTTATTTGTTGGGACTGATTATGCCGACAGATTTGCCGTTTTCAAAGTGCGATTGGGCCCTTGGCTATTGCTATGTATGGCTATAATCATTCTTTGGCTTTTAAACAGTATGAGATTGTTACAGATTCTATTACTAAACCAGCATTCAGCCTCGAAATTCCGGGGAGATCCAATGAACATTTTGGGCGGCATTCCTCCCATCTTTCCGCCGCTTTAGCCGCTAAGGTTGCACCATTGATAACACGCTCACGGCCATGTCCCTGATCCTAGTTGTTGATGATCTCATTCGTTCTCTTTATTGCCATGTGCATCCGATTTCGTTTCTCTTCGAAGTGCCTTCCCTGTTATATCGACTACAGAGCTGGGGAAGGAACCAAGGGGACCAGATTTCAATAACATGGGTGCTTCTCAAAGGCCTGGTTGGGCTACTTGGCAATCTCACTGATAGAGCAGAATCACTTTTGCTGCCATGTGTATGAAGGCGAGCTAAACAATGGCCTAAGGGTAGGGATATGAGGATGCCACTCGTGGAAAGTGGTAGCCTAATATCTTATTACTTCACATCGACTGGCCGGGATGAGCTGCATGCTCCATTGTTCGCCCCCATATGGGATATCGCAATGCTTGGCTGGTGAGATTATTCCCAACTGGCCTGCTCCCATGTTGAAACTTCGCTATAATCGGCGATGATAAGGTGTGGCCTTGCCGCGCATCAGCTTTCTCATGCAATACCCCATACCCACTTTTATATCGGGCTTTTTCTTAATTCGTAATTGGAGGGGGAAGAACAATGTGGTTGGATGCGAGGGGGAAGGCAGCGGTAGGCTGAGTATGTCTCCCAAAATGCGTCGGTGCTGCAGCTGCAGGGATAGGGCCAACAAGCGGTCACTGCTTCCTGGCAATCAACTTGCCTACGCGGCCAGCTAAAATGTCGCCCCGTGCGCTCTTTCATGAAGGCTGAAGCACGAACTGCTTTTAATCCCAGGCGGTTACCCTTGATATCAAACGGGGAATGCCATACTTTGTCTCGGTCCCATTTCCGCCCCTGTTTCCCGTTGCTTGGCGCAAATCTGTGGAGAAAATACCCGTCGCATGCATATGACGTCTGCTTTTCCATTGAAACTGACTTAGTTAACGCATTGCGGCTGTTTCTTGGGTCATTTTCGATGAATCACGACATTCTAGGATGGCGTCGGCTGGGGCTTCTCACTGCGATTGTATTATCTAGTTATGTAGTAGCCATTGTAAGCTGCAATTATTCGAGACCGATCAGGTGGCCACTCTTGAGAGGGAATATCGGCTGCCGTCCTACCAACCTTTACATAGAAGAGGACTGTTGTTTTGGACTGGCGTTCGAATTGGCTTTGGGAACATCCAGCTAAAGGGATGAGTAAGCAGTCTGGAGTCAAGCTAAATCCCGTTCTGATTGGTTCTGCTACGAAGGACCGGGCTGAGCACGTGATACAGCTAGTCAACTTGCTGAGTAATCTTTACGGCGTACTGTAAAGCTACCGAGTGAAGGGCGCTTGGCTGTGAGAGTACTCGCCTTGGCGTCCCAAGCTTGCGGAACGACATGCTATCAGGATAACATGGATGGAAACGCCAAACAGCAGACCAGCCTCTGCGGGGTTGACGGGAAGCAGAGAGGCACATTCTTAAGAACCCATGGGGCTGTTTTTCAGTTATAACTAACTATCCGACAACTGATTTTGCCCATCTATTGTTGCTCACTGTCAGGGCCTCGGAGACATCGCTATCACGACTTCCTCTATGGCGTGATGCTGGATGCACTTCTCCACCCTAAATGATCCTTCCGCAATCAATATACCCAAAGATCCCTGGACCACTGCGTGGTTCCGGCCTCAGCTATGGAGAACCCAGTTACTGCCCCCTCCTTCTTGTACGGCATATTATCCCAGCGCCAACATTTCAATAAGGAGATATCCGAGTCTCCAACGTGTTTCCAGGGCTGGGCGTGAAATACGCAGGGCCTAGACGAGGGCGAGTCTAACCCAATCGGCTTGAATACTGGCCAGCTGGAAATCAGCCGGCTACGATTGCATAGATATGCTTGACCAAAGTCCTGCAACCTGCGCCTCATCAACTGCATTCAGCTGATTTGAGAATGACCAAAGCTGAGTGGAAAGTGCTTCAGATGTTGGGAACGGGCAACATGAATATTTTGGGTGGACTGATTGCAGTTCGAATTGAGCCTCTCAGCTTGTCGCCAGGTATAAAGGGGCCCCAAACCTCCCATATCCGAGTTTCTGATCCTCATCAACCGCTCCATTCTGATGGTACTCACTGTACCAGATCTTATATTGACTGATTTCAACTCAAATTTCCTCTGCTAAACTCGTTATTCTGTCAGATTGAAGGCTAAAAGGAAACCTTAGAGATATGGCAGGCATTCAAGATGAAGGCATTGCTATTGTTGGGATGGGTAGAGACGTCCACCCCAAGCAGAGATGTTTGAGACTAATGGCCGGTTTTCTGTTATTTAGCCTGTCGCCTTCCAGGCGGCGTCTCTTCCCCCGAATCCTTCTGGGAATTTCTCCTCAGCCAACGCTGTGCTCGTGGTCCTGTCCCGGCCAGTAGATTTAATGCCAATGCCTTTTACAACCCGCAGAAAGACCGGACAGGAACGATCCGCTACACTGAAAGCTATTGCATTGATAATGACCTTGAGGCATTTGACAATGGCTTTTTCGAGATAACAGGAGCGGACGTGCAAAGTCTCGATCCACAGCAACGCCAGCTACTTGAATGTTGTTATGAAGCACTGGAATCTGGGGGTATTACTCTCGAAGATGTCGCAAATACAATGACTGGAGTATATGTTGGGAACTTTGCAAGTGATTATGAGTCACTGGCATTCAAAGAACCTGAGAAGATTGAAGGCATGGCGGTTCTGGGTATGGGTAGGACCACTGTTAGCAACAGGGTCAGTTACCTGTACAACTTACTAGGCCCTAGGTTTGGCTGCCTCCCTAACACTATGTTGATCACTACAATAATACTAACTGTACAAGTGTCACGATGGACACGGCTTGCTCTTCGACGATGTATGCCCTTCATTTTGCAGTTCAGGCTTTGCGAAATGGCGAAGTTCCAGCGGCAATTGTGGGTGGGGTGAATCTTATCCTCACGCTAGAATACCATTTCTCCATTGGTCAAATCGGGAGCTTTGTCTCCAACGGCAATGTGTCATGCTTTTGACGCCTCAGCTGATGGATACGCGCGTGGGGAGTCTATTAACGTGCTCTATTTGAAGAGAGTTTCCGATGCCTTGAGAGACGGCGATCCCGATACGTGGTGTAATTCGGGGCATCTCACTAACTGCGTAAGTCTCCTATTTCAATTTGGCAATGAAAAGTCTTTTGATTTGTCCTACTCCTGCTCTGGGTACGTCATAGTGCTAATATGGTTGGTAGTAATGGTAAAAACAATGGAATCACTCTCCCAAGTGCAGCCGCACAAGAACTTGCCATCCGCACAGCCTACGAGCACTCAGGCCCTCTCAATTATGAATCGGTGGCATATGTTGAGTGTCACGGTACGGGTACCCCGACAGGAGACCCCATTGAGACCACGGCGATAGCAAATGTGTTTGCTTCAGGTCGCGATTGGCACAATCCACCATACATAGGATCCACGAAGCCTCAGGTCGGGCATGGTGAGGCAGGTTCTGCTCTTACTAGTGTTATTAAGGTTGTTCTTTCAATGGAAAATGGTATCATTCCAGGGACTATTGGCATTCAGAAGCTCAACCCCAAATGTGAGTGACATACAGCACTGATTTTTGAATACGGGATTCCTAGGATGGGTCCCCTTACTTTTGGGCTTTGGCATTGACGCATTCTCTAGTGGACTTGAGAGGGAGCAGACTTTCCGTTGTGAATAAGAACATACCATGGCCAGCGGATAGAGCAAAGCGGGCTTCAGTCAACTCGACAGGTTACGGTGGTGCCAATGGCCACGTAGTCCTGGAGAGCTTGGACGAATATCTGAAGGATATTGACTTGAAGCGTCTCCCCTCACGACTAACATTCGACCCACACAGCTCAATCTTACAAGACTTGTTCCTACTTCCAGTTTGCGCCCATGATGAATACTCACTCACTAAAAATGTGGAAAATATACTCCAGGTGGTGGAGAAAAGTACCTATGACATTCACGAACTGCTCTACACCATGACACAACGTCGGAGTAAATTCGCTCATCGCGCCGTTTTGCCTATTACTATATCTGACAACACGCCTGTAACGGTTGGAGAACCACTAACCGGGAGGGCAAACCTCAGTGTCCCCACCGTCGCATTTGTTTTCACCGGGCAAGGCGCACAGTGGGCTGGGATGGGGAGAGAACTGTTGAGTCAGTATCCATCAGTCAGGGGCACTTTTCGGAAGCTAAACAACGCTCTCTCCCAACTAAACGAAGCCCCTTCATGGACTATTCAGGGTACGTGGTGCCCAACCCACGAGTTTGTGAAAGTTATACTAATCCTAGCAGATATACTCCTCGAGCCAGCCAAAACCAGCAAAATAGGCGAGGTTGCGTACTCTCAGCCAATATGCACTGCAATTCAAATTGCTATTGTCGATCTATCTTCGGGAGTGGGGATTGAATCCTGTGGCAACGATAGGCCATTCATCCGGTGAACTTGCAGCTGCCTACGCAGCGAAGCTTATTTCAGCTGAAGATGCAATAATTGCTGCCTATCTTCGAGGTTTGCATGCCACTCTTACGCAAGAACCTGGCGCAATGATGGCAGTTGCTATGGGAGCGGCGGATGCGGAGAAGTTCCTCGCTGAGCAAGGAATTGTACCTGAAGATGCTGTTGTTGCTTGCATCAATTCGCCAGAAAGTATCACTCTGAGTGGGAATCCCAATGCTATTGATACCATTCAGGGTGTTTTAAGATCGCGTTCTATTCTATCGAAGAAGCTTTCCACCGGCGGTAAAGCGTATCATTCATTACGCATGAAGGAGGTTGGTTCAGGCTACGGCGAGGCTGTTCTGCGTGCTACAACACAGCCACAGATGACCAACGGCGTCAAGTCACAAACCTCTACTAATGGGATCAAAAACCACGGTGGCCTGAACGGTCATTCAAATGGTGTTAATGGGGCTGCAAAAAGTTCCTCGGCCTTATCAAGAATGAAAGCGCAGAAAACAACAAGCGCTTCGCCTGTCATGATCTCATCAGTAACCCTACAGGCACTGAAAGCAACCGATATCGATGGTAACTATTGGCAAAAGAATCTGGAATCCCCTGTCCTTTTTAATCCTGCTATGAAGAGCCTGCTAGGCTTGAAATTCGGCCCGGAAGATCGTCATGTGGATTGTTTGATCGAAATAGGGGTATGATTTGCTTTTCATAAACTTCTTCTTAGCGACAAATTGCCAGCTAACCCTGCCATGTAGCCTCACAGTGCTCTCAAGGGCCCAATTAAGCAAATCATTGCTTCGCCCGAAGTCTAGGCGATCTGGAACGCTAGCGTTGGCACTGCAGCTAAGGTCTCTTACGATTGTGCTTTGGAGAGAAATCATAATGCTGAGGAAGACATGATGAAACTCGCAACTAGTATTTTCATTAAGGGATATCCTATTAACATGCTCCATGTTAACGGCCAAAACTCTTATCGCCCAGCAAAACCACTTGTTGGTCTTCCCATGTACCCATGGAATCATACGACACCGCAACCACTGTTACTCAACCGTATTACGAAAGATTATAAGTTTGCTACGCATCCAAGGCATGATTTAATCGGGAGTAGGTTGCCCGGAGGGAACCGTATGGAGCCAATTTGGAGGAACAATCTTCGCCTGAAAGACGTACCTTGGATTCAGGACCATGTGGTATGTAGAACTGATTTGGCCTACTTTTGACCTACGTGTTAACTATCGTTGTTAGATTGGAAATACAGTCATCGTTCCCGGAGCGGCCTACATAGCCATGGCAGTTGAAGCTGCCGCTCAGTTTGCCGAAGACGACGAGCTCGGTGGCCCATCTTTCGATTTCAACGACGCCAGGTTTCATCTCCACACCGTTGCGGTTAAATCGGCCCTTGTTATACCCGCAAGTGGAACAGCAGATATTATGATAAACCTCAAGCCCACCGACGCATCTGCAACACATAACCGATTCGACTTCAAGATTTGCTCCGTTACAGATAGCCGATGGACCGAACACGCAGAAGGTTCTATTTCGTACGAACTGACTCGTGGAACGAGAGCAATAGCATCCAACTTCGCCGGTGAAACAGAAGAACCTATTTTCCAGGAAAAAATAGGCAAAGATGCTTGGTATGATAGGCTAAAGTATCGCGGTTTCGACTTCGGGCCATACTTCCGCGTGATCGATGAAATTGAGGTTTTGCCATACCAGTCCCGCGCTCGCGCCAAAGCGCCAATTCTCTTGACAAGGGACAAAGATACTCCTTTCGAATCTCGATATGCTATCCATCCTTTGACTATTGATGCGGTGTTGCAGGGCCGCGTTGTCGCTGTTTACGATAGCCGCGCGGAGAAAGAGGAAGCAACTCAGATCCCTGTTTTTGTCGAAGACATGGTCATCAACCCTGCCTCATGGGCCAAAAACCAGACCGGTATCATTGACAGTGTTGCTTGGACTGAAGGGGCACGTACAGGTGGTTCCCACTCAACCTTGACAACGGAAGACGGGGTTGAAATTATTTCGACCAAACGTGTCAAATGGCGGCAGTTTGAAAACCAAGGCAGCCAAGAAAAGATGACCGTCTCTTTAGCCCGCGAACCGTATTACAGACTACACTGGAAGCCTGACGTTGACTTCCTCGATTCAGAGAAAGCGACTCGCTTGTATCATAGCGACTTTCAATCTCCTTCTGGAGCTGCATATCTAGACGAAGTGTTCCATATACGAACCAGGCTTGAGACCGTTACTGTTTTGTACATTTGCGAAGCTCTAGCGCATGTCAAAAAGGAAGAGCTACCCACCGATCCGTCTCTTCGTTGGGTGCACGGCTACTATAACTGGTTGACATATGTCCGTGACCAAGCCGCAAATGGCCGGATGGTCCTTTGCGATAGCGATGCGACACAGCTAAGCGCAGATCAGCGTGTATCTCGAATTGAACAACTGCTTTCTGAACTTCCTGGCGATTTCCCACAATTGGAGTATAACGCAATTATTAGAAAGAACATGGCTGGGATCTTGAATGGATCAGTGTCTGGAGTGGACTTAGCTGTCAAAGCGGAAATACTTGCTCGGGTTTATGCAGACGGATCAATTCATGACGCAGCACGGAAGAACCTCGCATCCGTCGTCGACATACTAGCTCACAAAAACCCTACTATGAGAGTTCTTGAGGTAGGGGCAGGAACAGGTAGCTGTACGAGTGTTGCTTTGGAAGTTTTGAACACTTATGATAAACTAACGGGCCACGCAAAACGCTACACGGATTATACCTTCACCGATATTTCGCCATCGTTCTTTGAGAAAGCAGAGGAACTCTTCGGGGAGTACCCTGCTTTGATTTTCAAAACGTTTGACCTTGAACACGATCCAGCAAATCAAGGCTTCAATTATGGGGAATACGACCTTATTCTCGCATCGAACGTGATTCATGCCCCTGGAAATACAGACCGACTGCTCAAAAACTGCAGAAAGCTACTTAAGCCAGGCGGAAAGGTGGTGATGTTGGAAATCACTCAAACAGAGAGTCTCACTCCCGTACAATTTGCATTTGGAACCCTTCCAAGTTTCTGGGGTTGCCTTGAGGATGCCGACGGTGATCGTGCTCTCGGGCCTTTCAGAACTCTGCCATCATGGGAGGGACAGCTTCTTAAGTCAGGTTTTAGCGGTCTAGATTTGATCTTGAGAGATTTCCCAGATCCGTTGGCGCTCGAGAGCATTATGGTGTCGACTGCCGTTGAAGAGTCCACTGTTGTTAAGGCTTCGGTCCCTGCGCTTGATCCGGTGGTCATAGTAAGTAGCACATCTAACTTTCGCCGGGACCTTGCTAATATGTGCTAGGTTCACTCTGCAGCCCAGAATGAACTCGCCATAGCCGTGGCACGAATTATCGGGGAATCTGGAACGAAGGTTTCTCATTGTTCGCTAACAGAGCTACCAGGCCTTGCCGCCAATGGACAGCTACACACATACATTGTCCTCGAGGAACTTGAAAGTCCAGTTTTGATGGATATGAAACCCCAACAGTTCGATGGCCTGCAAAAACTGGTACATACAGCTGCTGTTATCCTCTGGGTTACCGGTGGTGATCTTATGGTCGGCGGAAATCCAGCTTTGGCAATGGCGCACGGGATCAACACTACCCTCATGAACGAAAACTCAGCGAAGAATCTTAGATTCGCCGTTTTCGACTTAGACAAGACGGTCTCGTCGGAGATTCTTAGTATCGCTAATCACATTGTGGATATTACCTCGAAAGTCTGCAAAGCTGCCTCAAGAGAGGAATGTGAGACAGACTTTATGCTAAAGGATGGAGTAATCTACGTTAGTCGTGTTGTCCCTGATATGCAATTGAACGAGGAGTTCATGCTGGACTCTGGAGACGGCCGCGTGGACCAGGATTTTCCCACTTGTGGCAACGTCCTGCTGGCCCTTGAAACCCCCGGTCTCCTGGATACGATTTACTTCCAAGAAACCGTATCGTGCGCGACTGAACTTGGGGCCGATGAAATTGAGATTGAAACCAAAGCTGTGGGGCTCAACATGAAGGTTGGTTACTGCAGCCCTCATTTTTATATGTGAATTCTGACTGTTCTATAGGACTACGTTATTGCAATGGGCAATTTCGAGAGCGTCAAATCTAGCAATGAATCGACAGGTATCGTTTCCCGCGTTGGAGCTAACGTTAACGGATTTGTAGCTGGGGATAAGGTTATATGCCTTGAACGTGGCTATTATGATACCTTTTTGAGAAGCCCGGCGAACAAATGCTTAAAACTGAGCGATGATGAGGACTTGGAACAAATGGCGACAGTGGGAATCGCGCATGGCACTGCACTTTATGCGTTGAAATATCTGGCGCAGCTCGAGCCCGAGGAATCCGTACTTATCCAAGCCGCCACTGGTGGTTTGGGTCTAGCCGCTATACAGTATGCCAAATCGCTCAACGCAGAGATTTATGCTACAGTTGGCACTCAGGCTAAAAAGAATTATTTGATCAATGAATGCGGCATCGCGGAAGACCACATTTTCTGGTCTCGGACGCTTGATTTCAAAGAGCCCCTAATGGAGCGGACCAAAGGCAGAGGCGTTGACGTGGTGCTTTCGACAATATCTGGCCCAGGTTTCCACGAGAGTTTGAGCTGTCTGGCGCCATGTGGACGACTGATCGATGTCGGCAGAGGCAACGTCTTGGACAAAGGCAAAATGGCGCTTCATGTCTTCGATAAAGTACTAGCGTTTTCTCTTTTGATCTCAACTTCGTATTAGAAGAGAAGCCTAAGCTAGCTTCACGGTATGTTTCTAGGATGTCTCATATATGGCTTTGGAAGTTGACAATATTCTAGGCTTTTAAAGGAGGTGATGTCGCTTCTAACGGAGGGAAAGATGAAGCCAATCAAGATAGATAAGGCTTTCCACATCACCGAGATGGAAAGCGCTTTGCGATATTTCGGCCAGGGTCAACATATCGGAAAAGTCGTCCTTACATACGGCCCAACTGAGAACAAAGTTAAGCTCAAGGGAGTCCTGAAGCCAAAGGGAATCAACGCCAATAACAGCTATCTGCTAGCTGGCTGTCATGGAGGACTGGGCCACAGCATGGCTGATTCATTGATCCGTCATGGCGCTCGGAACCTCGTTTTCCTTTCCCGCTCGAGTGAACAGAAGCGGGAAATCGCTTCCTTTGTGGCGCGGGCGAGGGAACAGGGCGTCAATGTTGTGACAATACAAGGAGATGTGACGAAGGTTGCTGATGTGGAGAGGGCAGTTAGGCAAGCAGTGTGCATGGGGCCGCTCAAGGGTGTCGTCCATGCCGCCATGGTTTTGCAGGTTTGTTTTCTTCTGGCCACCAGCTTACTGTTTAATGCTAACTAACAGTAAAAGGATGCATTCTTTGATACAATGAACTTGGAAAAATTCAACATCGCCGTCCGGCCCAAGGTTTTTGGCGCGCTAAATTTGCATAACGCTACTATTGAAGCTGACGCCGACCTTGATTTCTTTTTTATGACAAGTTCTACAGTGACTTATGTGGGACACATCTCTCAATCCAACTACGCCGCTGCCAACGCAGTGCTGGATAATTTAGCCCGAAAGCGGCGTGAGATGGGCCTTCCTGCGACAACCATTTCACTAGGCCCGATCAAGGGGGTTGGAACCTTGAATAGAAAACCGGAATACGCTGAGAATCTGCTGCGCTCTGGGTTAATCGAAGCCCCTGAGTCAGAATTCATTTATCATTTCGAGAGACTAATCAAAGAGCAGCCGGATTCGAAACACTTCGACAGAAACACTCAAGCACACATTCTTACAGGTGTGGAATATACAAAACATGACCTGAGCATGGTCCAAGTCAGCAGAATTGAACAGGATCGCCGTTCCGCTCTCTTGGTTACCACCCTAGCCGCCCGAAAAGCTGCAGTTGGTGACGGTAATGCGGCGGCGGACACAAACGGGGACGAAATCCCCGAGATCCCAGAAGATCGAAACAAAGCTATTATTGTTCTTGCCGATGCGGTTGCTCGAAGACTCGCCAAGCTGCTTTTTATTTCATCTGATGATATCGACATCACACGCCCGCTCTCACACTTCGGTATCGATAGCATGTCTGGTAGTGAAATGATTCATTGGCTTAGGCAAAAGTTCTCCGTGGGAATGTCCTTTTTGGAGATGTTAGATCCAGGATGTACGTCGAAACACCTAGCTGGCGTCATTTACGATACGGCCCAAAAGGCAAAGACGGCCGCCGTGCCCGTAACGAATGGGGTCAACGGGACCTCGCACGCTACTTCAAATGGTGTCAATGGTCATACACCCTCAGAGAAGCCCCAAGCTGCAAGTGAGGAATATGTTAATCTATTAGGCTCCCACATGGAGGAGTTCTCCAAAACCTTAAAGAAAGCTGTCTCTGGGCCGAAACCAGTGGCCAACTCTTATGTTTGTTCTGTCATAGATAAAGCAGGTATGGGTTTGCCCTTGTGTCTCAAATGTGACCAACAGCTCTAACACATGGTTTCACAGGTACCCAGCTTTACTCACAAGCAGAGGGCTTTATTTCACATGATTCGTCGAAGGAAGTCGGGTTCGACTCAGTATACTGGATTGCATCAATGACGAAATTAATAACAACAGTTGCTTTCATGATTTGCGTGGAGCGAGGACAAGTCGCCCTAGATGACGATGTTCTCCCTATCTTGCCTGATTTGTGTTTGCTCCCAGTCCTAGACGGCGTGGATAACGTTGGGAGGTATCGAGTCAAGAAGCGAACCAAGCCGATTACCTTCAGATCCCTTCTTACCCATCAGAGTGGCTGCGGTTATCACTCGAGCCCACGGTTGACAAAGTGGGCAAAGGAAAACGACCGAAAAGAGAGTGTATTTGATAATGACTTTGTTCGTTTCTCCTTCCCCTCCTATCAAAATACATTCCAGATCTAACGAATATTACAGGAGGTCATGAAAAGCTTTCCGCTTATGTTCGAGCCTGAAGAAGGTTGGATGTATGGATCGGGTGTCGATTGGGCAGGAGAAGCAATAGCACGTCTGAACAACACAACACTTGAAGAGTTCATGCAAACCAACATTTGGGAGCCTCTAGGTATGACATCTACAACCTTCCATCCAGACAAACACCCTGGTATGCTCGAATCCAAAGTTACAATGTACGACCGGGACGAGGCGACCGGCGCTCTCATTCCGGGTATCGCTATGTCCAGAATCCCAGCAGTGCATGAATGCGGCGGACATGGATTGTGGTCAACCCCACGCGATTGGACGAAATTCATCAGCATGCTACTTGCAGACGGAGGCCCAATTTTGCAGAAAAGCAGTGTGGATGAAATTTTCAAGCCGCAACCTGTCGTTTCTGGGGAATTGCAGGAGCTGCTTTCTGGCCCACTTCGACCGTTCCTTCGCGCAACTGTTGATGAACATGCGGGTAGGATTGAGATTGCCTTGGGCGGCCCTCTGTATGTCGACCCTATACCTGGCAAGCGATCCGCTGGCACGCTGCAGTGGTCAGGTAGACCCAATCTTTTCTGGTGGATTGATCGCAGCAAAGGAGTTGCTGCAACAACGTTTACACAAACAATTTCGCAAGCAGATCCACGTTTCGAGGAGTTGACCAGCACTTTTGAGAAGGCTGTTTACGCTGATTTTGGGGGATTCTTACTGAATTAGATGACGAGTGACATGATTGTGCACATTTGCATATTTTGAGTGGTAAATTGTATGTTGATTGATTGAATAGAGAGATTTGTTAGATCGTTACGGAGTATTTGGTATAAATCTCCAGAATATATATGCTTTCGCAAATTCAAAACAATGACAGCCATTGTTTCAATAAGGGGAGTACCATGCTACCCGCAATGCGGGAAGTGGATTCCACTCCCGTTGTAGACTGCTCATCATCCGGAATTCTGAACCTGGAAGCAATCAATGCTCATGGCTAATCGGCGAATTTGGCCTTTGCGTAAATGGCGTTGGGAGACAGCGGTTGAAAATCTTCTATAACCGCTAGGCGACCGGGATACCGCCCTAGTTACATCCCGATTTTTGCCTCTCCAACAATAATTGCCGGTTGCACTGTTTGATCAACAGTTCCCGAGAGATTATTCCAGGCAAAGAGTTTGGCCTTTTAGGCTGCAATTTTCAGCCCTCCCAGGACGGAAATTGTTGAAACCGGATCATTCCTAAGTCTTCAACTGACGGTAGCTTTGTCCGTACGGAATAATTCCTTGATTAGGGTCTAGGCAATTGGTTTGGCACTCTTTCCCGAGCAGACAAGTCGCTGTTTAGGAAGAAGATCCGTTCAAACCACAGGCGTATCGGTAGGTAAGCTCGTTACAGGCTCACGATCGGCCTCTGTAGCTTGAATGTCTTCCATGCTGCCCCAAGCACCTGCTCTGCGCACATGCAGGAGTAATTTTAGGGCTCCGGATGGCGTAACACCTTCAATGCGCCGCGCCATGCCGACACTTTCGGGGCGGACTCGCTCCAGGGCATGGCGTTCTTCCGTACTCAAACCGTGAATCTTGGAGTAATCTAAATCTGGTGGAAGTAGGAGGGCTTCATCGCGAGCGAATATACGGGCGCTATTCGCTTGCCGCTTAACATATGGTGAGTAGGTCCCTTCTATTGCGATACGAGCCTTGATTTTGGGGTCAAATGAGTCGGTTGTGTAAGGCAAACCGGTAGGGGAAGTAAGGTGCTGGATAATGGTGTCGATATTGGCGTTGTTAAGGCAGAGAAGATCAAAAGCGGAGCGGAGACTCGAGTCAGTATGGACACGGAATCCTTTTCGGGACCATATTGTCGACGGATATTTTGTATTTTCGAGGAGCGTTTGAAGTTCCACAAGCTGTTCTTTCGTTTCGCTGAAGTGCTTCCAGCGTTTGTCAGTGATCACACCGGCCGCACGGCCCATTTCAGTAAGCCGAAGGTCGGCGTTATCAGCACGAGTAGAAATGCGGTATTCGCTACGCGTGGTGAACATGCGATATGGCTCAGTGACGCCTTTAGTGATGAGATCATCAACCATAATACCAATAAAGCCATCTGAACGCGAAAGTGTTAATGGCGCTTTGGATTGTGAGGCTAGGCCAGCGTTGATACCAGCCAAGATCCCTTGACCAGCTGCTTCTTCATAGCCTGTTGTGCCATTAATTTGACCAGCAAGATAAAGGCCGCTGATAAGTTTAGTCTCAAGAGTCGGTTTCAGAGAACGCGGGTCAACATAGTCGTATTCAACACCGTATCCGGGCTGAAGCATTTTGACGTGCTCCAGACCTTGTATAGTCTTGAGCATTTCGTATTGGGCATCTGCTGGAATCGTCATAGAGATACCGTTGGGATATATTACATCATTTGGGGCGAATCCTTCAGGTTCCAGCCAGATCATATGTCTAAGCTTGTCTTTGAAGCGAATAATCTTGGATTCCAAAGAGGGACAGTATCGCGGACCTTTGACTGTCTCCCGAATATGAACGGATTTGTCCAGATTCGCTGTGACAATCGCATGGGCCTTCTCATTTGTGTACGTCGACCAGCAAGCTAGTTGGTCTTCATCGCCGACAGCCACAGTATCGTTGAGAAAGGAGAAAGGAGGAGGAGGAGAATCGCCTGGTTGGACTTCTAAGGTGGAAAAATCGATCGTTTTGCGATCAAGACGTGGTGGCGTCCCGGTTTTTAGGCGTCCAAGTTGGAAACCAGCGTCTCGCAGCGATTTGCTCAAGCCAAACGTCGCTGCCTCTCCCATCCGGCCCGACGGGAAGACTTCCAATCCGATATGAATCTCTCCGCCCAAGAAAGTCCCAGTCGTAATCACCACATGCCCAGTTGGAATGACTTCCCCTGACTCTAACTTGACGCCGACAATTTTGCCTTTTGCGCCCCGGAGTATTCTCTAGATCTTCCCTTGAAAGGACGATGTCTGCCACTTTTCCCTCCACGATGCTTAATCCCTGGATAGGGCGGACAACTCTTCCAAGCTTATATTGTTTGTAGAGATCCCGGATCAATCTGCTGCCTTGGGCCCCAGACAGGCGGGACCCTTTGGACCGGTTCAGCACTCGAAATTGAATCCCTGCCTTGTCCACTATTCTTCCAGCAACGCCATCCAGGGCGTCAACCTCCCGAATCATTGTACCTTTACCAATTCCACCAAAACTCGGATTGCAAGAGCAAACGCCGATGTTGGATCGGGATGGAGTGACGAGGGCGGTTCGAGCACCTGAGCGGGCGGCTGCCGCGCAGGCTTCGGAGCCAGCGTGTCCGCCGCCGATAACGACAACATCAAATGGGCTAAAAATGGGATCAGTGAGAGAAACAAAGCCAAAGGTTTGCTCTACTGTACATACCGAGCGCCATCCTTCACAGTCGCAAAAGTCCGCAAACGCGGCGGCTGCCGGATGTAGAGCGCGCGCACCCCAAGTAGAGGCTTCGTTAGCCGTACGCCGAGCATTGTGATTCTCCGCACCTACACCCAACGTGCAAGATCAGGCAGCTTGCTGTCGTCGCAAGCAACGCCGTCGCGAATCTGGCAAAAAAATATCTGCTGACTAATGTTAATACGGGCCGATGAAATTCCGGGCTAACTCTGTTTCGGATTTATAAACTCCCCGATGCCGAGGTCCACCCGGGGTAACCAATCAGCGCTTGGGCATCTGTCGTCAGAGCGGGGGATGCATCTTCGACTTTGAGGATATAGAACTTGTCAACTAGCTTGGAGACTGCCGTTGAGACGAAAGGCCGCTCCTGAATACTTCAAAATGAAAGCATACTGGTATGACGATGAGGAGGTAGGCTCTTCTCCCCTCCCCTTAGCAACATTGCTCTAACAGGCCGGTTTCAGGGTGACCAACGCGCAGCGCATAACTCCGGGCGCGCTGTAGACGAATCTTACCTCTCTAAACTCGGTGTTCTATACCGGAACTGCCCCAATATTTCCGATGTCGACCGCCTTGCAACCGAACGGGGTTACAAGAACCGGGATGAAATCACGGTCTCTCCCGAGAAAATGGGCCAAAGCTATGAACAGAAAGTGAAGATGTTTTTCCATGAGCATTTGCATGAGGACGAGGAGATTAGATATATTCTTGATGGCGAGGGATATTTTGATGTCCGGAGCGAAGAGGACGCGTGGGTGAGAATTGCGGTGGAGAAAAATGATCTTTTGGTGTTGCCTGCGGGAATTTATCATCGATTCACGACAGGGGAGAGCAACGTATGTACTCGTGCTCGACATCGAAACTTGAATTATCTGACTCGGGAGCAGTATATCAAAGCTATGCGATTATTCCAAGATGAGCCCAAATGGACACCGTTGAACAGGGGGCCTGACTTGGACGAAAACAAACATCGAAAAGCATACCTCGAGTCTCGGGCTGTGGCTGCTGTATAATGGGCGACATTTTTCGCCTGAGACATGATATGATAAAGGGGATGAACTTGATGACGTGGTAATAGTAATGCCTAACTATTAGCTACACACAAGCACAGTTGGAAGCGCGGAAAGGCTGCCAGAAAGAAATAGCAAAATCTTTGAATTTTGCATTATAAACCACTAGTTAACTTTGTAAGGTTACTTTAGCATGGCCATGATGAACAATCAACCCACCATAAGGGGCAGGATATCCAGGGAGCAATCATCACTGATAACGGCATCCGAACACACGGGCGACAAAATAGGGCCAAGCACAGATATTATCTGGCATCTCATTTTCTAAACCGTCGTGTATACGTAACAAAAGCTTTCACTCCAAGCCCCCCTAGAAGTCTATGTAATGGGAACAGCGTCCGGAAGCGACCCCGGTATCCTGAACGGATCGTCTGCCCGTCCCCGTTCTCGGCTGCTCTGATTTTGTTGCGCATATTTGGAACTAGAACCTTTGTCGCCTGGAGGAGGGTTACGCCGATACCTGAGGCCCTCGGCATCGACTTCCCTCGCGGCATGCAGCATTTCAGCTCCAGTGTCACGGGATCCGAGCATGCTAACTTTGGCGCCAGATACTCCAGCAGCATCACTGGAACTTACATCTGGCTGCTCTTCCTGTCCTCTCACTCCGGTCCGGCCCATCCTGGGCCAGATACCCGGTAGGGCCACGACCTGGACCCTTGGTTCCACGACTCTTTCCTCAAACCATGCATGTACTCGAGCCTCCACCAATTGAGCAACCTTGGGTACGTCCTGCAGGCGGCTACGAGAACCAATGAGAGAGCGAACGGATAGATCAAGTCTATAATCCGGGAGAAAGGAAAATGCCAAACTGGTCTTCGGTATGCCTGTGGTGCTAGTAGCGCCACCTTGGCTCCCTTCATCAGTAGTCGAGCTCTCCTGGGGGGCTGTCTTTCCCCTAAGTTCATTTGATCGTAAATTTGTGTCGATGTTTGATGATGTTGGCGTCAGATTGGTTGAAGACTCCGTCGTCCCGGGTACAAACGATATACACAACGTCCCGGAAAAGCGGACAACGGAGACCGAGAGCGCCACAGGTAAAATCGCCGAATATGGCTTTGGATAATTTAAAACCAAATTTGTTTCAATAGCCAGAGAAAGGTTATCATCACTCAAGTCGACATCCATTAGGGCCTGGAGTCGTCCGCCATCAGAATTGGGATCGTCAATTGCAATCACCCGGCAATTGCTAAAAATTGGAAATTCCTCTCCTAGTGATATATCCGTAACTGTGATTTCATCGATGAACGATGGCTTCTTCTCTGGGTTGTTTAGCGTTGTAGCAAGGGACTCGAGGATAGACGCGGTCGGAGAATCTTTGAGAATATACGCAGTTTGCCGGTATTGAGCAATCGTTTGCGCAATTAGGACATTGAACCAGTCTAGTGACTCCGGCTGGTGAGTGGAATGATGCGGCCTATGACGGCCATGTTTAGAAGGGAAGTTTGTAGGGTTCGCACTGTAGTACGTTTTCCGGAGGATCGATCGAGTGTTTGTGGACGAGGAAGGGACGGGACGGAGTACGTTGGAAGACGGCTTTTCTTTCAACGTTCGAGGGCTGAGGTCTCTAGCACCGTGTATGGAGTACGACCGCTTGTGCTGGCTGGTTCGATGGGTTTGGCTGCGAGATGGCGACGGGGGAGCTTCACCGAATATGAAGAATTTAATGAATGCGCCGATCAGCAGGACCACAGAGAGCTGGCCGACCAGCAGGCCCTGCGTAAAGGAGAGTCTAGGTCGACATTAGCTTTCATTCACGAAATATAGGTGGTGATACCCACGACGATGGGGTGGGTTGGCCGGTGGTATGATCTATTTGAACTTGATGAGCAACAAAGGTCCCAGGAATGCGGGCTCGAAGGATTCAACACACTTGACATTGCAACACTTTTGAGCTTCCCCGATTTCCCATTTCAATCAGCATAGCTTATGTGGCCTTACTGAAGCCATCCAAGCTTCGATTGCTAGCATTGATGAATGATTGATTGCTCGTGGCGTTGGGCCTCAGAGTGATGTTGCCAAACTCTAAAGCGGCGACGGAGTTCCCGGACAGGAGCCTTGTGAGCTTCCAAAGCAGCTCTGGGATGTTTCTGTCTGCCTATGTAATTACCTAACTCGCGGTGGGCGACAGAGAGGGAACAAGCCCAGGCATCTGGTCGCAACACTGGCAGTCATGGAACAAATCACATATGGTGCAACCAGTGGTATCTTCAAAACTGAAAAATCTACAATTCTCAAGTGCCCTTTTCCCGGCTCTGAAGATGACCTGCACTGCGAGCAACAAGCCTATGAGCGGTTGCGTCGACATCCACGGATAGCCCGCTACTACGGCCGCTTCAACAACGTCGGGTGCGAGCTGGAATATTACCGGAACGGCTGCATCGACAAGGTAATGATAACAATGCATGGGGAACTGCCGTATCTCAAATGGGCAGAACAGATTGTTGAAGCGCTGTATGTGCATAGCAAGGGCATCATCCACTGTGACCTTCGAACGCCTAATATCCTGGTTACCGATTCCTTTGACATTGTCCTTGCCGACTTTGTCTCATGCTGTATAGATGGCGTGAAGGTATCTACAGTGACCAACACAGCAAGATACCGCCCGCCTAGCTGGGAGAATTATGAAGAATATAAAGTCTCCGTTCAGGATGACTTCTTTGCATTTGGCAGTGTTGTTTATTTTTTGATTACGCGTGAAGCTCCTTATAAGGATCTAGAAGATCATGAAGCTATCAAGCTTTAGACACTGGGGAAATTTCCGGATGTTTCTACATGGCCATTAGGTGCTGTGATGAATAATTGCTGGCGAGGAGAATACTCCACTGCTTCACAGCTGTTGGAAGATATCCGTCAGTACACCTCCCCACCCCTTCATGTGAGGTGATGGCCCTGTTGACATATTCTTTTCTATAGGCCGTGTGAGATCAGAGTCGGGCTCCAACCTCATATTTTCGAGCTGTGTCTGTTTCATTGTCGGTGTTTTGGGATATTCGAGGCTTCCCTGGTGGCCTACGCTTTCGCGAACCTTGCCCTTTCTAAAGATACCCGGGAGCTCATAGACTTCCGCGACTAGCAGTGCCGGTTCGGCTACCGGCTTATCTGTCTCCTCCAGCCATGTTCGCGAGGAACTGTAACACTTCTAGCTCACTACATTCTGTAGTTGAAATCATTGTGTCTAGACATTCCTGCACGATAGTTTTGGGCAACTGGACTTGTTTAAGCCTGCACCTAAACTAGGATCCTGTGCAGTATCATTTTGAAAATTTGGATATCCTTTCTTATTACCGGCCTCCGCCTCATGATCTCGTTCTTTCCAAAGCTCTGTCAAATCCTCATTCATCATAAACATCTTATATTTGTCAGATTCAAATTCTAGTCAATCGATGTACTCTAAGGAAGTTAGCATGAGAGTAAGAAGACAATATAAAGATCGTATGTAAAGTGATGGCGTTTGCAATAGTTAGCATCAGAAGCATTGTTAACTAACTAGCTTAACTAGTTATTTGTACTCCGTGTTCTGTTAGACAGCAATGGAAAAATCGACAGCTCACTTCCCTGTCATCGAAACTGGGGAAAATTGCAACCCTCTTTTAGAACACAGCCCGATTGCTCATAGACCAACATGAATTGTTTCTGCCTACGGAAGACCAGTGCACCGACATCAGATTGGTCAGAGACAACTTGAGCAGAGCATGAAAGGCCCAAAAAGACTTTTGAAGATTACTCAGTGAACACTGATGCCACTTGTCCTGAACAGCTCCTTTACCGGTGCTGGCTGTTAAATGCGGTCGACTTTTACGGTGGGCGGGTCAGCGGGTCGACGGGCAGAAGGTCAGCGGGCAATTGTACTGGAACATACTAGTAATAGCTGGGGGGTTACTGGGGGTTAATTGGGAACCCCTAGGGAAGCCCAAGGCCTGAGCTCGCCGGGTTATTGACACAAGGTCACCGGGTTATTATCTGGTATCACCGGGCAGGTCTACCATTTATTACTAGTAATTCCTACAGGCTACTGCCATGGTTCTAATATGGAATTTTACAAGAAACCCGGCGAGCTTTTACAGTCCTGATGTGGAATTCTATAAAAGATCCAATGACTTAGTCTCAGTAGTGTCATATGTTACTGATGGCTATCAGAGACTACCAGAAACTTCCATAAATTTAGAATCTTATAGTAACTAGTGATCATTGAGAAACAGCAGCACATGTACACAAGTTTTATTATGAGTGTAGAATCAACTACATAATTATTTAGTTGAACATGAAGCATGACTGTAATTGAATCAGCTCTGTGAGAGCTATTAGAAGCAGCTAGTAACTACTAATAAATTGAGATGAGAAGTTCCATAGTCCATGAGGCATTACATACCATAACCAAAGCTCGCTGGGTTTCTTGTAAAATTCCATATTAGAACCATGGCAGTAGCCTGTAGGAATTACTAGTAATAAATGGTAGACCTGCCCGGTGATACCAGATAATAACCCGGTGACCTTGTGTCAATAACCCGGCGAGCTCAGGCCTTGGGCTTCCCTAGGGGTTCCCAATTAACCCCCAAACCCAATTAGTATCCTCCTGGGTATTACCAGTATGTCCTGGTACAACTGCCCGGTGACCTTCTGCCCGTTGACCCGCTGACCCTATAACTCCGACTTTTAATCCCCATCCCGAGCCAACTGCCACTGGGATACCCTCTCCCTCACTTGAGAACTAAAATAACTAGTCAACCTTCAACCTTGACCATGCATTCCATCACAGCTGCATTCCTCCTCCTCACCTCCCTCCTTGATCCCGTCGCAGCCTACAACACCAATAAATCACCTTCCCGCAATGCCGTCCTCCTCTCCAACATCCAAACTCTCACTCTCTATGCAAACCGCAAAACAAGCCACCGCCGTGTCTCCGCAATCCCACAGTTGACCTGCGTCGGCCCCTCGAAACGCATCTGCTCCCTCTACACCCCTGACGTCATGCGCTGCAAGAACCAAGGGTTTGACTACGATGAAAACGATATCCAATGGACGTGTACGGCGGAATTGCCGCCGGAGTTCAAGCTGGGGAGCACCGAGGTGGTGTGCGAGGGATATAGAGATTCGAATGATCCGTGGATCTTGAAGGGGAGCTGTGGAGTGGAGTATCGCATGTTACTGACCGAGGAAGGAGAGAGGAAATACGGCCATATGGCCGCGCAGGGCGTCCTTGACGATCGGAGCTGGAAAGAGATTTTGTGGGATTTTGTCAAGGGTGTTGGGACCATCTTCATCGTCATGGGGAGTTTTATTGCGCTGATGAGTTATTGCAACCGATTTACCAATGGGAACAGGAGGAGATCAGGCGGTTGGTTTGGAGGCGGCGGAGGAGGCGGTGGTGGTTGGGGCCCGCCTGGTCCTCCGCCGCCATATGACTATCAGCCAGGAAGATATACGAAGACAGAAACATGGCAGCCGGGCTTCTGGTCTGGAGCTCTTGCTGGAGGATTAGCCGGTTATGGCCTAGGGAATCGACGTTCATCAGGTCGGAGGTCCGAGCCCTACACTCCCAGCAGTTCGAGCAGCGCCAGTGCTGGTCCCTCGGGTTGGACGAGAGAGAGCACGGGGTTTGGCGGCACAAGGCGTCGATGAATTTACTATTCCCTGGAATGTGATGATAGAATAGTCTCTTTGTATCGAGTTTATACATTTCGTATTGGCTTTGCACTGTACATCATCTACTGCGCGAGAAAAACGTCGCCGCCGGAATATGGACATAAAATCCCATGCGAGTCTTGAATTCAAAAATCGTCAATTGTACCAAGAATTTCTTCGGTCCCTCCGCCATATTGCCCAGACTTGGCCGTTTTCTTCTTCTGATTCCGGCCTCGCTTCGTGTCTGCACCATTTTCAATACTCGGCATTACATTCCCATCCCCTGGATTACGAAGTTGCTCTTCTCGCGCCTCCTTCTCCTTCGCATGCTGTTGTTCAATTCTTTTCTTTTCTTCTTCCAGCTCCTGCTGGATTACTTTAGGGTCATCGTACACCGTATTCGTCATTTCAGAATAATCGTCCAAATCCACAACCTCGCGGGGCCCAAGCAATGTTTCTTTGATCCTCTCAGGGGCCTTCCTCTCTTCATTGCAGAATTTCAATTTGATATGTCTCCGCGTGCGGCCAGGGAACATCTTACTGATCATCATAAAATCCGTTCCAAACATCCGGAGCCCTCTGTAGAATAGATCTGTCATTTCTTCGTCCCAAGCTTCGTGTTTCGTTTTTTTCCCAAACGACGCTTGATTGATACGCCGCGTTAACGGGTTCTCTTCGACCTCTTCCATATCTTCCGCGTTTCTTGCTGCGTCGGCATGACGGTCGATTTGTAACGAAGCTGTGTCTAGGACGATTTCTCCATTCACGAGGCGCATCTGGGGCCCACTTGCTTGCAGCTCCTCATCTACTCCCCGTCCTTTGCCGGATCCTGGCGTCTTCTCTCGAGGATCCTGTTGCGGTTGCTGACTTGCACTCTTCTCACCTCTCTCCGTTTTCTTTTTGGTAAGTTCTGCCGCTTCCATGTTCCGTAATTCCATTTCCCGTCTTGATTTCCTACCTGTGCGGAGGTCTTTACAAAGGTCTGACATTTTGACGACCGCTGACATTATTTCGATCGATTCTGCATCTTCCGGCGTGGGTTCACGTTTTCTCCTACTGCGAGGTTTCCTTGTGCGCACTGCATTCTCAGCGACCACGGCAGCCTCATCTTCTGCTATTCTTTTACGCTTAGGCCTCACCGTTTCTCGCTTTGAAGTCTTCTTGGTCGTCGTGGTGGAGGTTTCATCGTGTGAAGTCACATCAACCGATTGCCTAGTGGATGCGGCGGGCGTAGGAATAGCAGTCTGGTCCCTGCTGTCTCTCCGCGACGGAAGTGGTATGCGCGTTTCAGGGTCTGAAACCCTAATTCGCTTTGCCGGACGGGTGTTTGATTCCGGTTCTGTTTGTGTCGTTCTCGGTTCGGGGCTGGCGGTAGGGCGGAGGACTTGTGAAGAGGGACCAGCTTGCGGCCCTGGGGTCGGTAAAGTTATCAATGGGGGCGGTTCCTTATTTGGTTCTGTTGTTACTGGTCCTTGTGCTTGTGATTGAGAAACAGAAACTTCGCTGCGAGTTGTTGTTGGAACTGGTGGCCGCTGTAATGGTAAAGGGATTCGAACAGCGCGTGGTGCGACCGGTGAGCGGCGCGTTTGAAGTTGAGGCGAGAGGTTAGGGGAGCGTGGTTTCGGGGGTTCTGGGGGCTTTACGGTGGGTGACGAGGGTGATTTTGTAGGGGGCTGTGTTGGCGTGGATTCCTTCACTGGGGCCGCTGGCTGGGGCGTTTGCGACGCCCGGCTGTTCGCATCTCGAGGCGGAGCAGCCGGTGTAACTGAAGCAGCAGGTGCACGGCGTGCGGGTATTTTGGGAGCGAACTTTTTCCCCGATTTGTCTATGAATAACTGATAAGCATGCGACGACTGGCATGAGCGGGGGAGGGGATGGCTTGGAGCCTGTACTCACTGATGACGGAGCTGGAAAAGGACGCCATCTTGGCGTGCGGTACGCCCTAGTGGTGTATCTAATTCAGGATCGCAATTGTCTGAATATGCCAGCTCACAGCCGTGATCCTCATTGTCGCATTCCCTCGAAGCTTTGGAGTCGGTCCATGCAAAGCCGTGTGAGGGGAGATTGGCAAAAGCTAAGCGCTAGCACCGCCAAGGAAGGCAATGAGTCAGCAGCTTCGTTCGTTACTCAGCCCATCACGTGCAAATGCCAAGCTTTGCGCTAAGACTGGAACGGGTGGAAAATCCTCCCTTTGAACAACTTCCTCACTCCTATCCATCCCGCCGCTTTTCACTTCCCTGATGCTGTTCTGTTCTTCTTTGTGTTATTAGTGTCAATTCATTTGAATCCTTCTTCGTGGAGTAGGGCTCGGAGCGATTCGTCTGCTTTTCTCGCGCTTGGACCTGCCTCATTACATGAACCGGCATTACCCTAATGACGGTCATCGAGGCGTCAACGGTCCCCTTATCCCAGTCCGTGCTTGTCAGCAAGATGGAGGACCGGAAAAGACCTGCTTCGCTTGATCCCAGTGACTCTACCCCACCCTCGAAACGACAAGCGACGTCCGTGAATGGTGGAGGGAAGCCACATCCTGATGCGGATATGCCATGGAAAGACGATTTAGAGGTAGGTCTATGGCGACCTTTATGTTAAAATGAAGATTATAATTTTCTCTGGTAAACGCACCATGACGGCGAATACTGATCTGATCTCCAATAGCGCGTCCAGAAAGATGCAATCCTCCGTCAAATGCAGGAGTATAAACGCGAAAAGGCAACACTGGAAACCCGGCTCAAGCAACTGACGAAATCCGTTTCTTACCATGATGAACATCTCCGTGTTATTGACGCCTGGCTCAAACAGGTATATATCCTCCGAAAACCCCGTTATCTCATTATCGCACAGTCATATCTGATATCGTTGTGCTAGTTACTTGACGAAGTTAAAGTCCTAGTTGGGCCTTTGGATGAAGGGTCTTTAGGTAAATATTATATCATTTCACGAAAAATTACTTCCCGCTAATACATAAGAAACAAGATGGACCTATCCCAGAAAGTGCTTTATTATTCGCGGACCATGAGAATTTTCAGACACATTTAAACGATTGGAGAGATTCAATCAAGTCTACAATTTCGCTACTATGCGCTCGTGCACCCAAAGCTTCGCAAGATGTGACAGATCTACAATCTCGACTCAATAAAACCCTGGCAGAAGAAAAGGCAACAACGGTTGAGCTAGAAAAAGCACTGGCTGACAAGCATCAACTCGAAGAGCGCCTAGAGGCAGCGTCGCTGAGATATATGGTCGCGGAGAAGAAAATAGATAGGGCTAAGAGTTCGACTGTTGCAAAATTGGAAAAGCAATACCTATTTGGGCCTCAAAGAAATTCTGGGGGCAAGTCCTCGGTACGGCGGGAAGAAAGTTCAGGTCCTAATGGCTCACCCGACGCTTCGGAAAAACTGGTAGATCTTGAATCATCATATAACAAGACACTAGCGATTTCGGAAGTTCAAAAAGATCAACTGGAAAAGTTAGAGGCTGAGAATACTAAGCTACTCACACAAATTACCGATTTGAACGTGAAGGTAAGTCAGATATTCCGCTCGTGTTTACAACGTCTCTAACCTAATTAGCTCTCGAAACTATCGGATGAAGACTATGCTCAAACCGATCTATTTAAACAGCTGAAATCTCAACATGAAGACGTCATCAAGCGGATCAACCATCTCGAAGCCACAAATGTCCAACTACGCGAAGAAGCGAAGAAACTTCAAGCGGAAAGAACCGCATATCAGATACAAGTAGAAAACGAGGCCCAAACTTCTGCAGACGAAAAGGAAGCATATCTCTCAAAAGTGGAGTCCGATTTAGCTCGTATCAGAAATGCTCGAGATGAATTGCTTGCGGATCAACAAATGAGGAAGGCGGCTCAAGATCAAGAGAAATTTTCCTTGGTCCAGATGAAGGAGTTATTGGAAGCTAGAGATGCCCGTATTGCGTCGCTTGAATCCGAGGTAGAGCGGTTGCAACTCCAAACAGATGGGACGAAATCCGTGCGCCCAAGTACGGCTAAATTATCTCTGGAAGACTTGAGAACAAAATACGAAACTCTGGATAAACAATACGAGTTGCTTAATACTGAGCTCTCTTCAATGCAAGCGGCCTTCAAGCGAACATCTAAACTTGCATCTCAAAAAATCAATGACTTGGCCACTCTGGAAGAGAAGGTCCAGCGGCTAACGGCCGAAAAGTCGAAGGCTGATCAGAAGTACTTCGCAGCAATGAAGAGCAAAGAAGCACGCGATCTTGAACTTCGGACCTTACGTGTTCAAAACATGAAAAGTTCTGATATCATATCACAGCTCAAAGAAACCGAAGGCACTACTCGAAATTTAGTCTCAAACGTTGAGAAGCAACTTTTTGAAACCAAAGAGGCTTTGAATACCGCGCTTGCACAACATCGGACATCCCAACAGCAAGTTACCGAAGCAAATCTAGCTATTCAAGGGCTGAGATTACAAGTGGCGGAACTGAAAGCGCTTCTTGCCAACAGGGACGCCTCTCTTGCGTCAGCCAATAGCAACTGTCGAAAGGCTGAAAGTGCAGTCGAAGGACTCAAATCCACTCTCGCCGATACTAAGAAAAGCATGGAATCTTGGAAGGCTAAAGGATTAGGTAATTCCTCTTCGGAATATGAAATGCTCAGGGTAAGCTCTTCTTCCTTTGATATAAATCGAATAACTATTAACCACATTTAGTCCCTTGCGCTTTGCACCGTCTGCCGCAGGACATTCAAGAACACAGCCATCAAGACCTGTGGCCATGTATTTTGCAAAGAGTGTGTTGAGGAAAGACTCACGTCCCGATCTAGAAAATGCCCTAATTGCAATAAGTCTTTTGGCAACAACGACTACATGCATATCACCCTTTAACGATTCTTCTTTACGACGTCTTACGTCCTTTACAACTTGGATTTCATGATTGTCTTTTGTACAATATTGTATATTTTATTTGTTTAACGCTATCTCCAATGGCGCTCTGTTGCATTTGAGAGTGTTGGGCGAGGGAGTCATCACTCTGTCGTGGTAACATTATCGAAATGGAGGGCGCTGGGAACCAGGGGTGGGGGACTGTTCTAGTGGGACTGTTTACCATTTTTCACATTAGCGTTTTTCCGTGCTAATCAGGTCGAGGGCGTTCTTTTCCGGGCACGGCGCCTTTGTCTTTAACTCGGCTGGAAAGGCTTGGGAGTTCTCCGGTGTGTTCAGGGTATCTCGCTGTTTGGGATAATCGGATTTGTTTGGAGTCCAGCTCACACGATGAACAACTGGGTATATTTCCGAATTTTGCTGAATTTTCAACACAATGGAGGGTGCCTATATCGCCTCACTAGCCCTTTCGCTTTTTTCAAGAAATTCCTGCCTCACGAGTTGAATATCCTGCTATAAAGCAGCTCATGGCGCCCAACCCAAAGGTCGATGACAGGAGCAACCTGCCCAGCATCCGCGGGCTCAATGTTCCACTCTTTTTGAATCCGTTGCGCAATCAACTCTTGCAAAGCTCTACCAGCCAATACCTCTTGAGCCTGGTATGGCCCCATCACAGAGGCTCTCACGGCAGCGCTTACCACAGCTTTTGCGTGGTTCAACATGAAAACATATGCTGTTTGTCGTAGATCCACGCCCATCGCAGCGCAAACGGCGCCCCATAATGGGCCAAAATGACCGCTTGTGTGACTGTTCAGCAGAGATTCGTCGTCTCCATCAGCGGGGGGCTGCTTCATTGATTCCGAGAATGCGTGCAGGGCTACGACTGCCTTTCGCGCATGAGCGGAGCCCGTGTTCCTCAAATTTCCAGCCGGCGACCAATTGGCATCAGAGGACGCCTTGAATGATCGTTCCCAAACGGTAAACAATGCCATGCCCTGCGCGACGCTCGCCCTGCGAGCTACGGAGCAAGGTGTTGAGGCATCAAGGTCATCATCTAGGGTTTCAAGCTGATCTGGGCACCTGTGGGCTTTGAGGACGTATGGCAATGTCGTGCCAGCGATAGAAATGATAGAAAGGTTGAGGAAATTGTGAAAGGAGGAAATTGGAGTGACACCAGCCGGTAGGGGCTTGTGGTGGAGGATGTAGGATTCTAGACCACTGGAGTAGGCGAACGCGCCGAGAGGCAGTGCGGAATCGGAGAGTAAAAGGAGAGAGTGGGAGGATGCTATTGATGGAATAAAGTCTGGATTGAGAGTCAGCGGCTGTGTGACGCAAGGCAATCGGGGGATGGAGGCACACCGCCAGAGCTGCACTCGTTTGTTCCAATTACATCTCCATCATTACGTCTATTTAGCAGCGACATGGCTTTCTCTAGCTGGCGCTCTAGATTTTTAACCTCATTTTCGAGTTCTTGCTGGGACCGTTGTGCTGCCATTGAGAAGAGGCTGGTCGGGAGTTGCGTGTTGCGGTTGAGCTGATCTGATCGTGATTGATAAGATTGAGAACTGCCGGCTCCGACCGCTCTTGGCGCTTCGGCAGAAAAAGCTCAGCTCAGCTCGATGACACCGCCTTTAGCACATGTATTAGACCTCAATCAATGAACAGCAGCACGATGCAATTGATACGATAGCCAGTGGATTCGTCGTCAAACTCTGTGATGTCAGGGCGTCGGCTTCTTGATGCCATAGCCATATTCAATGCTACGCGGAACGTTGCCGCAAAGCACATTGCTTTGCAAAGACAGCATCTCGACGTCCACGCACGAACTTCTTCATTGACCAAGGGAGCGAAGTTGCAAGCGGATCGACTAGGACTTGCACTCAAGGCAGCGGCAGATTTAGCACGGAAACTCGATGACATCCCAACGCACAACACCGTCGCGAGAGAGAATGCCGGGGCGGCACCTCCCGCAACCGACAAGAACGGAGGAGGAAACGCTACTGAAGGCCCAAGGTTTGGACAGGCTGTGAAAGATGTAGCATCAGGCGAAAATTGGGCGGAGGCAGAAATAGCTTCAATCAAGCCAGCTGAGCGGAAACAATGGGAAGACAAAGGGAATACTTCTCCTTTGGCGAAAGATATCAACGAAGAGAAGCCTCGGGACCCGCTAGAACAGTCCGTTAACGCGGACAGCGCTACATCTAGCCAATCGCCAGAAAATCCAGATGGCGAGAAGATTGGTAGTCAAAATGAACTTCCCAACGACATGATGAAGCAGCTCTTCCGGAGCCGGAAAATGTCGAGCTCCTTATTTGCGGGTCGACACGGCGCAAATCTAGGTTCGATGGATGAAAGGGCAAAGTCAAGAACCTCATCGCCAGAGGCTGGCGGGATGCAACCCGTAAACAGCTCACCGTCTGCCGATGCTGCTTTGACCGATTCGGAGCCCAGACCGGCTTCTCCGGGCTCGGCTTCGGCAGCCACCCAAAATTGGAATCAAGCAGATAACGCAGGAATTTTCGAACAAATTCCCACTGTAAGCTATTACTTCTAGGTATCAATCGGCGGGTATGCTAATCGCGTGTGCTAGACAGAAGCAACCGAAACGCCCTTGAAACAAGGGCATGGAATGATAGAATCCCGCGTTCCTTCTTCCCGTCTTGGAAGAATATGGGAATACAGCGGGCTTGCAACGTCCATGGCGTTTGGAGTCATGGGCGAAGGTATCCGCCGAGTAACCGGTAACGAGGACGCAGGTACCGGCTCACTATTGCTGAGCCCTGCTAATATCGAACGCCTTGTGGCTAAATTATCCAGAATGCGAGGCGCTGCTCTTAAACTTGGGCAAATGCTGAGTTTCCAAGGTAAAGGAACTGTGGGCCCCGTGTGTTCAAAGACTCTCGTGTGCTCACCCCTATTATAGATTCAAAGATGCTTCCTCCAACAATTCAAGAAGTGTTGCAACGCGTTCAGGATAGAGCAAATTATATGCCTGCTTCACAACGCAACAAGGTTCTAAAGGACAATCTGGGGCCCGAATGGAGAAACCTATTTGACACCTTTGACGAAATCCCAATGGCTGCCGCGTCAATCGGTCAAGTTCACGCTGCGACGCTGAAGGAGACGGGTCAACGAGTGGCAGTCAAAGTACAGTATCCCGGCGTGGCCGACTCTATTGACTCCGATTTAAATAATCTATCTATCCTGCTTACGGCATCGCGCCTCCTACCAAAAGGATTGTATCTTGACAAGACCATTGCAAACGCCCGTACTGAACTTGCTTGGGAATGTGATTACATTCGCGAAGCCGAGTGTGCCCTAAAATTCAAACATCTCCTCCAAGACGAAACAGCCACATTTCTGGTTCCCGACATTATTCCTTATGCCTCTGGCAAACAGGTACTTACTATGGAACGCATGGACGGCATAGCGGTAACGAAAATCCAAAACTTCACGCAAGCCCAACGTGACTGGATTGGAACCCAACTCCTTCGACTATGTTTCCGCGAAATCTGCGAGTTCAGGTACATGCAAACCGATCCCAACTGGACCAACTTCCTCTACAATGCTGCAACCAACCGCCTCGAACTTCTCGACTTTGGCGCATCGCGCGCTTACCCTACATCCTTTATCAATACCTACGTCCGCATCCTAGTTGCGGCATGCCGCAACGATCGCGAGGTACTGCACGACCTTTCCATCAAACTGGGCTACCTTACGGGCTTCGAATCGCAAGCCATGGTAAACGCGCACGTCGAATCCATCCTCACGCTTGCTGAGCCGTTTGGGCAAAATGCGCCCGATGTTTACGATTTTAGCGACCAGACGATCACGGAACGAGTGAAGCAGTTGATCCCGTTGATGTTGAGGGAGAGGTTGGCGCCGCCGCCGGAGGAAACGTACTCGCTGCATAGGAAATTGAGCGGGGCATTCTTGCTCTGTGCGCGGCTGGGGAGTCGAGTGCGATGTAGAGAATTGTTTGAGGATGCGGTGAGTAAAGTGGAATGGAGTGAGGGAGGTGGGGAATCAAGGCAAAGCGCGGCGGCGAATTGACCGCTGAGATCAACTTTAACGATGTAAAATATTATATAGAGGGATTTGGGATGGTTTGCGATAGAGCGATATATGTGTACATTAGCTTCATCTACTCTATTCTGTGTTGAGCTGGTTGATAATCATTTCCGGCCCTGCTACAAGGGCGCTACAGAGGCGATCAAGTTGAGATATAGAGGGGGAAAGGCAACGGGTCATTGAAGAGTGTGAATCGCCGTGGGTTTCCTGATAGTAATTTGGAGTGAGAAGGTGCCCATCGCCTGGGAAATCATGTAAAAAAGGTGTTCATCTGACTGAAATGGTAGATTTTCAGGGGCGTGAAATTTAGACACGGAGCCGGAAAGAAAGCGAAATAGGGATCAAGGGCGGGTATGATTGATTCATAAAACCTCCCATAATATATGAAGCTTCTCACCACAAATTCACGATTGTGTCGATGTCGTCTATGTGGCCGATCCCCCGATTATCAGCTCTTCTTCTCAAACACGTCGTTCCAGTACCGTTTAACACCATCGCAAATGCCTCTTTTCCCCTTCCAACTCTGAAACTTGTCTTCAAGCTCGCACGCCACCCACTTGATCTCGGACCAGAACTGCTTGACGACATCTTCTTCAAATTCATCGATCGTGTCTTCGGGGATCGTCCACTGACGTATATAGTTCCCCTTTGGGTCCCGAACGGGGTCTGTGGCATGCTTCTCGAAGATCGTGGCAGGGTTGAACTTTGGGAAATTGGCGTGTATGAAAAAAGGCTTGGGCGAGCGAGCCGCTGAAGGATCTGCAACTCGGAATATGCCCTTTTTCGTTAGTCGATAATCCTCCACTGGATCGTATTGGACCATTGCAGAACCGTCCATCCCGCCATCGGCAGCTCGATGTCCAATGGCGCGCAACGGTTCACTGACTTGATAGAAGGGCTCATCGACCGCTGTAGCAGCAGCGATAAAGGTTTCTTTGTCTCCTTCTCCGGCAGCGCCCTGTGAGAAAAGGGGATAGTAATGCGAGGGCCCGTAGTAGTTATAGTACGTCGAGAGCATAAGCGTCTTTTTGTGAGTCTTCTTGGAGATGAGAAGTTCACCAGACTCGGTGGAGGCTCTAGCTGTCGTTGGAGGTATACGTTGTGATGCAATTTGATAGTACAAGGGCGAAGCGCTGGAGGCCCAAAAGTCGGGCCACGTAACCATGTTAAAAGAGCGGAAAGGCTCAGAGGAAAACAAAGTTTTTGGATCGTGCAACGGGAATGCGTCGGCATCAAGGAATAGCATCTCTTCAAACGAAGAGAAAAGCATTGCAAACGGCTTATATTGATACTGTTTTATGTCGATGGGACCGGGCACCTCGTTCAAAATCTTGCCCAAAATTAAGCACTTTGCGTTCAGTTCCGCAAAGACGTGCTCACATATATACGGCTCGTACTCCTCCTCCGACGCAAGAAACACCTCCATTGGTAACGACGATCCGTAGTGTCGAAGCATGCGCAAGGATATCGTCAGGATGGGGAGAAACTGGCCCCCAGCAGTTGAGACCAGGCCACGCGTGCCAGGAACGTAGTAGGGGTGCAGGGGGCGGTCTTTGAGCGTGTTGACGAAGCTATTATGCATCAATTTCATCTTTTCAACATCCTCTCGAGGCATGGACATGAAATCCGGCCGTTCCACGCCATTCTTAGGGTCGAATCGAGTCGAGCTCGCTTTCTCGGAGCGCTTGGGCGAGGTGCAGTTGGGCGAGTTGGCCACAAGGATGGGGTGGAAAGAGCGCCAGAAATTGATGTGCTGTCCGTAGATGTCTCTGTTGGTCTTTGACCACGGCCGAATGCTCTCGGAGCCCGTAGAACGGCGCCATCTCGCAGGGAGATAGACAAGGAAGACGAGGACAAGGAAGATGGTGACGAAGAGTTTTAATCGAACGGAGGATCGAGGGCGGAATTTGGTCATTTTCAGGGGTTTCAACGAGCTGCAAAGGCACTGTCTGTCGTCCTCTTCGTCCTCATGGTTAGCATTTTCTCGACTTGCTGAAGGTTGACGGAGAGAGGACGGGCTCACTGAGCTAGGCATCTATGGTTTCAGCAAAAGCCAAATTGAATCCGGCGGGCCTCGCATCTCCGGCCGGAGGTCCAACATCAGCTCAGAAGAGGGAGAATCATGGCCGTGCAATCCAGCAATGCAGCGCCGCAAGGGGAATATGCACATATTTATAGATCACAGGCGCTGGCCCGCAGATCGCCATGGGGCAAGCCACACTATCGAGGCCTAGGCTTTTGTCCAACGGCCCCTTTTCTTAGCACATCCGCCACCACCCGGCATCGACTTTTAAGCATGTGGACGTCGAAGAAGGGCAGCTAACAATTGTCATCAGGGTTGGCCGGTGCCTTTGTTGGTTCAAATACTGGATCCTATCAAGACTGCGTCGAAACAGGAGCATATCAGCCTTGAGGGTGCCTCGTTGCACTAGTTACGCATCCTATGTATTTGTGTGTTCAACACAAGACAGGGGTGAAGCTGTCCTACATGAGTCCGTCCTCCCAGGCAAGGTGATCCCTACGGAATGTGAGAGATCAAGCCTGATTCATAAGCTGTCGGGCCAGGATACCTTGACAAGACAGTTGTGTTGAATTTTCCGAGCTGTGTCTTTGTTTCAAGGCAGCAAGCAAATAGCCCACGGCTTCTCACCTCGCCATATACAGAGTATTATACTCCGTATCCTGTCGAGAATAGCGATATCTTGTGGCCTCGCTGTTGCTTCAATCAGTGCATAGCTGTGATTAGTCAGCGGTGCTGACGTCAAAGCCCTAAGCCCTAACTGCTCCGCTTTGGACAGGCTTGGAACATCAGCATACAAGAGAAACAGGCGGATTCCATCAAGAAGTCGATTCTCGCGGACACAACGGGCAGCAGAGGGGAAACTGCCTGGGCCTAGGCGCTGGAACCGGTATCCCATTCAATCCTTGATAGCCTTGAGTTGAGCAATGCAAAGATGGGAAACACTCCGTCGAAACCCCCCGGCCCCTCGCCGCAATGGAACGACAAAAAGGTGAACCGGAGATCATCTATTCAGGCACTATCCGGGAGCAAGTCTGCAGCGGTCGACCCGTCTGCATCCAAAGAGAGCGCCACGGGCCAATACTCTCAGCGCCAGCACACGCCGGCTCACCAGAGGCTGCAGTCACGAACCATTGCCGACACTCCAGCCCGTGGACATGACAGACTGGAGCGGCGTACCTCCAAGAAGGAACGAGATTACGATGCTCGAAACATCCCGATCCACCCAAAACTGACCGATGCCCCCGAGCCAGCAAGAGCCGTGCAGGTGCCGACCCCAGCCTCATCGCAGCAGTATCCATATGTAGGCGGCTATGGACCGTCCATCAACACCTACTATGCGACGCCTTCCCATCTTTCACGGCCGCCCCGGCTGCCTCTGCCGATTGGCGATGCGATGTCGGTCCCTGGCTCGCCAATCACAGCCAGTGGCTCGTTGGCTGCGGCCGCCGCTTTTGATAGGGCCGAAGCTCATCCTGACAAATCAGCGCTGGGAGACATTGTCGACGATGAAGATGAAGTGGTGGATGAGCTGGAGCCCTTTGCGACCACTGGCCTTAATAAGGCAGTGTCCACGCCCATCGAGTGGAGAGGTGGCGGCGAGAAGGTGTATGTAACGGGCACTTTTGTGAATTGGGCTAGGAAATTCAAATTACACAGGAGGTATGTAACTTGTGCTTCATTTTTTCCAAGGCCTGCCATAAACTGACCTGGCATGTATTGTGCTAGTGAGATCGAAAGCACACTGTTTTCCACCACTCTCAAGCTTCGGCCAGGGACACACCATCTCAAGTTCATTGTTGATGGTGTCATGAGGACATCTGACAGCCTCCCCACTGCGGTTGATTTCACCAACCACCTGGTCAACTACATTGAAATAAGCCCCGATGAAATGCCCCCTTCGCGCGGAAGCGAAAAGGCTCCAAAGATTGTGATCCCGCCAGGGCTTTATCCCCCACAAGTGCTTCCTGACTCCTTACCCATAGAAGAGCCAGAAAAAGAGGTCGACGAGGAGATACAAATCGGCGATTTTCGTACAATTATCCCGCCCCTCCTCATCGACGTCGATGGAGAGGAGGGCACGCCAGGATATACCCAAGCTGCGAATATCATCAATGATTTTCCCACCCCACCGATGCTTCCAATGTTCCTCGGCCGGTCCATCCTGAACAGCTCTACCCCCATGAAGGACGACAACAGTGTTCTCAACTACCCCAACCACACAGTGCTAAACCATCTTGCAACGAGTAGCATCAAAAATGGCGTGCTCGCCACGAGCGTGACAACAAGATATAAACGAAAGGTATGTGTCTCTCGTCAAAAACTTACCAACATTGCTGATTGGTATCTGTCCTTAGTATGTCACGACGATTCTATACAAACCAACTGGACATGAATGACATTCACGATTCCCTGCTTGTGCTCTACCCTGCCACCGATCTCTGCGCACTGCACAGGTTGTGTGGATGATACCAATTCGTTTGCAAGATATTTTTTGGCAATTTCGTTACGGGGCCAACCCAATAGAAGCGACGAGATATGAAAATTCTCGATCGACACGTTTGGAGAACACAGCTGGTGATATTTGTGTTTGCTTTACATTGGATTTAAGATGCCAGATTTGAATGTTCCCCTTTCTTTATTCGAAAGGGAAGGTTTTGCCTGCATAGTGCTGTAACCACGAAAGTGACCGATAGAATGCCCAACCACTTACGTCTGATGCGGCTCGGGTGACGCAGCGAACGCTCGTCCCATGTCCTTGAACCGCACACGCGATAAAGAGCTTAGACTCCCCGCTGATACTTGTTCACAAAGTCCCATACCTTCCGCTCCACCTCTTCCGGGTTTGAAAAACTCAAAAAGTGCTGCCCGCCTTCGACAACATCGACTGTAGCCTCGGGCGAATTGACAAACAATTTGATCTCTTCGTTTGCATTGGCGACCGAATACACCACATCGCTTGTCCCGTGCATCCAGAGCACCGGGCAGCGAACATCCGGTAGTCGGCTGTGCAAGGTATCTCGATCGCGAAGGTTGATTGCGGCCATTCTGATTCGCTTGCGTCCGTCGTCGCCCCGATAGTTGGACTGGAGTGTTCTGCTCCAAAAGGCACGAACGTCGGCGGGGCAATTGGCGCCGAAGCCTGAGTTGACGAGGAAATCGCAGAAAGATTGGTCGGGAGAGAAATCCGGGGTCGGGGTGTTACTGGACCAGGAGTCGATCAGGTCGGAGCAGGATTGAAGCGGGTCCCAGCATCCCAGAGCGCGGGTGCGTGGAGACTCTGAATCCATGGAGGTGCCTAGCGGGATGATTCCTTGGATCTACACAGATAGCATTGGGCTGTCAGCAGCGGAGACCCATACGGGGCGGCGTCTTTTTCTTGGAAACCTACCCGTTCCGGAGCAAGGAGGGCCATCCTCACGGTAACCCAGCCGCCTTGGCTAGTGCCCAGAACAAAGGCCTTTTGGATATGTAGCGCATCCATGACCTGGAGGTTCATGATTGCGGTGTCCCAGTACGTCCAGTGCTCACAGGCGGCTCGGGTTTGGCCATGGCCGAGGAGCTCGATGGCGAGGAGGTTCAGCTTGGACGTCAATGCGGGACTGGAGAATTGCGCGGCGTAGAGCTCGGAGGACGTGGTGAAGCTGTTTATCAGGACGAGGGTGGGCTTGGAGGCGTCAAAGGGCTGGGAGAGGCGGTAGGCGGCGTCGATGCCGCCCAGATGGGGGACGTGGATAAGTTGAACATTCGACATGATTGCTGTGGCTCTTGATTTAGAACTGGCGAGGGAGGGGCGGGGACATATAAGCATATTCTACAATCCGTTGATTTGATGTCATGAGGGCATCGTTGCCGAGGATCAAAGTGGCCCAAGAATTATTAGGGGCCAGAGCGGGTCGGTCGAGAACAAGAAGCGGAGAAATAAAGCAAGAAAGGGAGAGGCGAAAAGAGGCTTGACACAGCTCCAGTTTATTGGTTGAACTATTATTTCTTGGGAAACAAGAGAGTGACAAAGATATCCCGACTTCCATCTCAGACTTTAGATATCCCCTGGACGACATGATACGGTGACTGTCCGTACCATCCACACAGCCTGTGAGCTATAGCTTTTCCGCGGTCTAGAGTCCGCCTCGACAGCTTATTTCTTGGTGCAGCACACCCAGCAGCCAGTCTACCGCTCCGTCAGCCACAAGGAGAGGACAAAAGGACAACCACGCAGTGAAAAAGAAGGAAAAAGAAGCGGCTCACATGGAAACGATAGCCTTCCTAAATTCATAACATTCGAATTAGCCATGAAGAAAACGAATCTGCTTGAGCGAAGAGGGATCTTACCCAGCCCGGCAGACATTGGGTTGGCTTGGTGTAGTGGCACACGCCGAATTCACATCTGTCTTCCTTCATGGGGCGCACCAGGGTCCCGTCGGCGGCGGGCGCGGCGAGGGTGGTTGCGGCCAGGGCCGCGGCGGCGATGAGGAGGGTTTTGAACAACATGGTGTATGCTTGTGTTGGGAGTATTTAGAGGGTTGCTTGTTGGATTGAGTTGCTGGTCGAAGGGTGCCTGAAGCCCTTTTATATCTTTTCGCATTAGATGTGAAGATTGGGATTTTGGCAGAACGAGGACATCTCTTTGTTTGTCCTTGCTGCTGCGACTGTCGGTTGCTTGCATTGTATCATGGCCTTGCCATTCTAGAAGCCCATGATCACTGTTGGAGTGTTTGACAAGACTCCTTCGGCCGACGAGCGAATACAGGCCTACCACAGGAGTGTCGAATTAGTCGACGTACAGAGCTCAGGCTTGGATGAAAACGGACTCCGTTGTGAATATATTAGCTAGCCAGTTCTCTGGGGTTCTTTGTTGCATACTGGGTCAAGGTGACTCGAATCTCAACGCACGAGTAACCACATCGGCATAACAGAGATGATATTAGATTCTCCGCACTCGAGGAATCACTTATTCTCAAACTTCAGGCCCGCCCGCTCCCTCGCAATACCGTAGATGCCGGCAATATCCCCCTTCTCGCCGCACTTGTCCTTGACCTCCTTTAGATAGTCATCGATGCGCTCGACCCCCTTCATCTCAACGCCCACGCCGCCCGCCAGATCCAGGGCGTGCGCCACATCCTTGCGCGCCCAGTCGACCGCAAACAGCGGCTCGTCGCGCGTGTAGTAGTCGCCCGCCAGCATGCGCGTCGAGTAGCCGACGTACGGGCCGGGAAAGACGGCCTCCAGGAAGCGGTGCAGGGGGTCGACGCCCAGGCCGGACTTGTCGGCGGCCACCATGCCCTCGGCCACGGCGGAGACCATCTGGAAGATCATGGCGTTGCCCAGGACCTTGAGCATGCCGGCGCGGCCGGGGTCCTCGGAGGCGGCGCTGAGGTCGATGTTGGCGCGGCCCATGACACCGGCAAAGTAGGGCTGCACGCGCGCGACCAGGGCCTTCTTGCCGGCCTGCACGCACACCAGCTGGCCGGCGTCGGCGGCGGGCGGGGCGCCAAAGACGGGGCAGGCGATAAAGTGGGCGCCGTGGGACTGGAGGAGGGCCTCGAGACGGCGCGAGGTGTCGGGGTGCACGGTGGAGCAGTCGACAAAGAGCTTGTCGGTGATGTCGGCGGCGAGGGCGGCGGTGATGGTGGACTCGACGGCGGTGTCGTCGCCCAGGCAGGTGAAGACGATGGAGGCCGGGCGCACGGCGTCAGCAATGGAGGCGGCTACGGTGGTGGTGCCGGGCGGGAGAGAAGCAGCCAGGTCGACGGCGCGGGCGGGCGAGCGGTTGTAGAGAGTCAGCGGGTGGGCGAGCGAGGCTTTGGCGACGAGGTTGCGGACCATGCCCTGGATGTGTTAGATAGATATAGATATACAGAGGATAGAGACATACACGGCCCATGTTGCCGAGTCCGATCCACGCCAGACGGTCAGCCATGATTGTTTGTAGATTTGATGTTGATACGAACTAGTTGTGAGACAGTCGCCTCTGAAACACTCGCACTCGCTAACCAGCTGGACTGTTTCACTTTTCCTCTTTGCTTCATCTGCACCACGACCTTTGCTCTCTCCATCTCGCACTCTCGCTGTTCCCTTTTGCTTCACCGTCGCTCGCTTGACTGCACCGCCGCCCGGTGGTCATGTCCACCGCCCTCGTCTCGTCCGTGCCGCTCCCCATGCCTGATCGCGACGCCAGTCCCAAGGCCTATCCCGCCCTGGCGCCGCTGTCCGCCGCTGCGTCCTCGACCTCGTCGCCCAGTCGAGTCCCGTCTGCCTCGAACGAGTATCCCTCCGAGGCCAACACGCCCGACGGCAAGCGGTCGCCCAACACGCAAGTCCCCCAGCCCTGCTGCGCTCTGCCTATCTACTAACACATTGCCTTGACCAGATCCCGCAGCGGAGGGCCCAAGATCGCCATCAAAAAGGAGCCCCCGACCTCGCCCAGCCTGCAGCCCGGCACCCGCCATCGCCCGCGCAAGCTCGACCTGTCCACCGGCAGCAACCTGAGCACCCGCGGGCCCCTGACCGCCCGCGATGGACGCATGCAGGACGTCGGCCTGGCCTGCCTCTCGCCCGGCTTCCAGACCCACGACCCGGCCATGCGCGAGCAGCTGCAGCGCAGCATGAACGTCCGCGAGCAGCAACGCTCCATCATCGAGGCCCGTCTGCAGCAGTCCGCCAAGGGCGACGGCCCCGACAGCAGCAAGGGCGATACCACGCCCTTTGGCCCCCAGCGCACCGGCAAGCGCCGTCCGCCCCCCGGCCTGTCCATCGTCCCGCCCTCCGCCTCGCAGTTTGCCAACGAGCGCGTCATCCAGTCCGCTCCGCTGAACCAGACCTTCACCGGCCGCCGCCAGCCGCAGCCGCTGACCCGCCACTTCCTCAACCATCCCGCCGACGTGGCCGCCTCGCCGCATATCCACCACACCCCGGCCAACCAGACCAACAACCGCCTGCCGCCCATCGCCGACGTCTTTGGCGCCGACGCCCTGTCCCTGCGCGATCGGGACGCCAGCGGCCGTGGCCCCTTTGGCCAGTCGAACCCCGCCCAGTCCTCTGCTCTCGCTCCGCTGCCCTCGCCCGGGCCTGCCCGGTGGCCCGCCCCCAAAACGGCCCCGGGAGTACCGTTCCGCCGAGGAAGCCGTCCACGAACTCGCCGGGCGGGCGCGAGGAGCTGCTCCCGCGCATCATCCATTACAGCAGCGCCAATCGCCCCACCAGTCCGCGCTCTCCGCCCAGCCTCCAGCCGCACAACAGCGGCAACAGCACCGCCGGTCCGCTCAACGGCATGGCGCATCTGAACAGCAGTGGGCGCCCCGTTCCACGCAGCCGCACGTCATCTTCTAATCTCGTCACGGGCGCGGCGTCGTCGGACAGGCACGAGTACGAGCAGGACAACGGCAGCCCGCCGCTTGGAAACGGGCCGGACATGCGGTTCCGGACCGGGCTGGGGCCGAGTAGTTCGTATGGACCCTTTGGGGCCGGGCGAGATTCTCCCGACACGGAGCGGCGGAAAAAGGAGGAATTCCTGGGCCTGTGCGCCAGGGCGTGGGATCTGTTCCATTCATGAGGAAGATTAACCCACGCTGATGAACGGATTATGCGACGATGCGATTTCGAGACCCCTCAGAGCCTCCACAATTGTTCCCACCGGCCTTTTTGCCCATCCCTTCTCCTTCCTCGAGTTGTTGCGCGAATCATGCCCTCCCCCATGGTCTGGATACCCGCGGATGGAGGTATGACGGGAGTTAATGTGCATTTCCTTCCTTTTTTTTCCTTTTCTACCCATCCAGTCGCTCAGCTTCCCTATCCATCTTATTCTTTTCTTTTCGTTCTTTTTTTCCTTGCTCATGGTCTTGCGTATTGTTTTCTTTATATCCCCTTTAGCAGAAAGACGAGTCTGACACGTCGCCATCTATTTGCTACTGAGTATCACACACTGGATAACCCTTCTCCTTACTCTTTTGAGACCATTAGTTCTCCACGCCTCTCATTTTAGCCCTTTTCTTCTTCTTCATTAAGCCTACTTTTATCTTCTTCAAACGCCCCGGTTTACGCTGCGATGAAAACAAATGAAAAAACGGAGGACCCAAGGTCAAGAGGGAGTCGTTGAATACTATCTGATTTATCTACGAGAGAAAACACAGCACCAGCGAAAACCGTTTTTGAAATACTTTCTTCTCTTTTATCGCAGCTGGGGGGAAAGGACATGTCGGCAGTCTATCTCCTGACCCTAACTTTCCAGCTGTTTTCTTTCCTTTTTCTTTTCTCCTTTTTCATTGTCTACCGGCGTTATGGGTTTGGATTTTCCCTTTGTGTTTTGCCATTGTCCAATCTGGGCCTGCTCTTCTAATCATCGCCAGTCAGATAGCCTCTTTTAAGATATATGAAATGAGATTGGAAGTAAATCCCGTCTAATCGTATCCCACTCAAACATGCCATCAACCCTCCACCACCCGCCTCGTCGCCGGCATCTCCCTCCTCTCCCTCGACGCCATCTTCTTCCTCCGCCTCTCAATACTCTTCGTCCTCTCCTTCCCGCCCATCTCCGCATACCTCTTCTTCAACACCTTCCGCTTCACATCCCCCTTCTTCAAAAAGAACGGCGCACTCTTCTTCCCCTCACGTATCAGCCCCCTCTCCCGTCGCCGATGCCCCGCCACCACCTCCTCCGCCTGCCGCTTCCGTTCAAACGCCCGCATCCGGTCCGCCATCGATGTCAGCTGCCGCCGCAGCCGCGCCTGCTCCGCCGCATCCGTGCTCTGCGCAATCTGTCGCCGCAGCGCAGACACCTCGCTGCTGCGGTACTCGTCGAGGAACGCGTAGTTCTTGGCCGCGTGCGGGTTGCCCGTGTGCTGCACGGCGCTGTCGAAGCGGGGGTCGCGCGGCTTCGGGCCGGCGGTGGCGCCGGCGTCGACGACGGTGCGTCGGCGGGATACGGCGTGTTTGGAGGATTGGATGGTGGGCGCGTGTTTGGAGGAGCGAGTTGGGGGGGTTTCCTTTTTGGCGGACGAGGATGGAGGTTTGGAGGCTTTTTCGTCGCGGGTGGCGCGGATGCGGGCGCGGATGTCGTCGAGGGGGGAGGTGGTGGTGGTGTGGGCGCGTTTGCGGGTGGTGGTGTCGTGGCCGAGGGAGGTTTGGGCTTTGGCTAGGGCGCCAAAGGAGATTTGGTTTAGGGTGGTGTTGACGTCTTCGGGCTCTGAGGCGGAGGCGTCGGACTGTGGTGGGATTAGTGGTGGATGTTCTTGTAAGGAGGGTGTGGTTTGGGAGGTGATCGTACGGATTCCTCGTCTGGTTGTATTTCTGCTTCACTGCCTGACTCGGATTCGGATTCCTCAAGATCAGAGTCAACCTCTATGTCAGCTTGCTCCGAGGACGATTCTGAAAAGACTTCCGAGTCATCCTCATCCACCCGTGCCTTGATGCGCCGATTGAGAGCGTCTAGGAGGGCCATGGCTGGATGCTTTGTGATATATCTGCTCGTCGAGGTGATAATGAATCCATTTGATATAAAATAAACAGATGCAAACAAGACAAACATAGCAGGGCGGTCACCACCGGCAGTAACTGATTCTGCCACTCTAGGCGGTGAGCACCCTTGTGCTCGAATTATCGCAACTTTGATTGAATCGCGTTGTTGCGGAGTTTCGCATTCGCCCGCTGTGGTGGTGAGATGATTCTGTGTTTTTGGGCGCGTCCATTCTTTTTGCGCCCATGCTCCAAACTCGACGCGCTCGCTTTTACAACGTTATCAGGCCACTCGTCGCCAAAAACCAGTTCAACTCCAGCGCCACTAGAGCATTTGCATAACAGAGTACGATCCCACTCTTTGTGTTTTCCCCTTAAACAACTAGGCTAAATCCATTACACGGACAGTCACTCTCTCTGCGTACTCCAAAACGATACAGCCTGTTTCCCGACGACCGCAAGCCTTCAGCCATGCCACGCCGCAACCCCCGGCGCGCTCGAGGCCGACAGCCCGAACAGTCAAAACAGGATGATACCGATGCGCGCGTATTAGTCACTGGGGATACGTGGCGGCCCGGTAGGGCGTCCACCGCTCAATACGAAAACGGATACTATGCGCAGCATGAGAGCTTCGCCTGGAGGGATAGGGATAGCTGGAGACCTGGGATGAATGCGTCTACTCCACCAGGGAATCAGGGCTCGACCGCGGGTGGCTTTGGCCCGTATTCGCAACCCGCTCCATACTGGCAAACTGGAATGCCACTGCACAATCAGCGCCAGGAACAACGATTCCAGGCGAGTGGACAGCGTCAACACACATATTATCCTCCTGCCTACGCACCTGGTCCTTTTCCGTCCATTTCAGTTCCCCGTTGCAAACCCCCGGGTACCCAATTCTCAACCAAGCCACCTCAATATCCTTCCCTCAACGAGATATGTCAATGACGCCGGGCCGTCTTTCCAATCTCCATATTCTCAACCTTCTCGAAACTTATCGACCTCGCGAGCAATCCCACCCGTCGTTGCTCCCATTCCTACCGAAGAATACCTCGAAAATGCCTCTCTCGAGCCGGCGTGGACCGGTTCCCCCTCTCCCCTCTTAATCATTCTCGATATGAACGGCACTCTGATCCATCGTAAACGGCGTTCGGCGATATCATTCGTCCGACGGCCGGGTCTTGACGGTTTTCTGAACCACATCTTCGACCGATACACGGTCATGATCTGGACGAGCTCGAAAGCGACGACTGTGAGGGAGGTATTGAAGCGCCTTGTTCCCTCCAATATGCAATCCAGATTTGCTACGATTTGGGCTCGAGACAAATTAGATCTCACGAAAGAACAGTACAATGAGAAAGTGCAGGTCTATAAACGGCTGGATAAAATCTGGAACGATACATTTCTACGCTCGCGGTATCCCAAATCCAAGGCTGGCGGGCCTGCTGAAAATCACGGCTGGGATCATACCAATACCATCTTGATCGACGATAGCAGGATAAAGGCCGCGGGTCAGCCGTATAACATCATCGAAATCCCCGAATTCACCAACGACGCATCCGTCGACGAAGAGAGAAACATGAAAATCGTCATGCGGCAGCTTCGAATCCTCTCCCGCCAGCAAGACGCTAGCAGGAAAATCCGCCAATGGAACGAGATGATGAAAACCGCAGATCCGGCGCTTTCGACCACCGAGTTCTGGGAGGCGGAGCTGAGCCGGGACGAAGAACGGCTGGGATTGGAGCCTGATGTCACTTCTGGGGTTAGAAAGAGGAGGAGAAGCAAAAAAGGGGCAAGGCGTCTGGAGGCGGATGTTGAGCAGGAAATCGAAGAGACCCAATCAGCTCTGGACGCAAGGGTCCATATCACGGAGGATTCCCAGCTGGAAGATCAATGTAGCGATGTCACGGACGACGAGCCCGAGATATCAGTGCCCAAGGACATTATCGAACAGGATCCTGCTATCTCCACCACACCCAGCGTCCCGCGATAGACTCGCATCAACTACAGGAAACTCCATCGACATAGTTGCGAAACACCTTTTTTTCCATTCTCTCCAACCATGATGTTTGCATCCCAAAGCATTAATTGACGATTCAATGGCATTTGAAAGACTATCTCTGTTTTTGTATATTACTTGACCTTTGATGATACCTTTTTTGTTAAAGCTTTGCCAATGATATTGTTGAAGAGTGATTTTCAAGTGGGAGATGATTTCCTAGTTCGTGGGTGAATGGATGACAGCAACTTGAGTTTTTTATTGAGTCGACCACCCTGCCTTGTTTACTAGATGTCTATTGCCCTGCATATTGTTTGCTGAGCAATCGCAAGGAAAGGCGCCATGATAGAGTAGAATGGAGAGGCAAGAGGTTAGGGCTAAGTGTGTCAAGCTGAACGTTGCCCGGCTCTTCAATTAGAGGATGATGCCGCTCAGTAAACATAAAACATTAGCATGTCAGATTTTATCATTCTCATAATTAGTTTTGATCGTCTGGAAACAAATGTAGTTCAGTCCGACAAAACAAGGGTCATCACGCAAGACAAACTTCACAGACCATCTGTGCGCGTTTAAATTTCATTTTGCTCATTTACTTGAAAACTTTTCCTTCGGCCCATTCGTAAGTCTTACCATCGACAGTGATTGGCTTATCCTGAGCCCATTGGTCCTCAACAAAGTGCCTGTCCTCAGCCTTGGAGCCGTCCAACTTGGTGAAGCTGTAGCTCTCCCAGTCAGGTGCAACATCGAAAGCTGGTTCAGCCTCCTGGCCACGGACAAGGAAGGCTCCCTGGATAATGGAGTTGTTGCTCTCGCCATAAACGGAGCAAGCACCGAAGAGATACTTGCGAGAGGCCTCGAGACGGGCGAAGAAACCACCTTTTGATTTGTTAACATTGAACACGGAAAATGAGGAGGGTACTGGATCTCACCAATCAAATTATTCGACATAAACGTCAAGGTGAGCTCGTTGTTATATTTATAATCAACCTTCCATAGGGAGTACTCCTCTGGGTTATAGTTTTCCCAGAGCCATGGCATAGCAACCTCACGGGTTTCCTCATTGGAGTACTTGCGCTTCCAGTCATCAAGGATCATGGATGGCTTTGGGAGAGATTCCAATGGGTGTTTAGCCTTGGGAGCTGGCTTATCCTCTTCTTCGGCTTCCTTGGGGGCTTCCTTCTTGGCTGGGGCAGCTTTCTCCTCCTTCTTGGGTGGGACATTTTTAAGGCCTTCCTCAACGAGAACGGGGCTTGGAACAACGGCCTTGTACGCGGGCTGGTTGATAACGGTCTCAAACCACCTGGCGGTGGCTGGGTTGGCCTGGCGCCAGTCCTTGCCAAGAACAAATTGGAATCCTCGGGACAGGAGAGCAGCACAGAAGAGATCGGCAAGCGTAATACGCTCACCAACAAGGAAAGTGAAGTTAGTCAAGTGCTTTTCGAAAACCGCAAGGGACTTGAGGGCACGCTTCGAGGTATCCTCAACGGCCTTTTTGTTGTAAGGAGACAATCCAATTAGAGGACGGAACCACTCTCCGATATTGTTGACAATCTCCTGGTTCGCGAATGACATCCAGCTGAGGATGGATGCATAATCTTGCTTGGTCTTGCCGAGAAGGGTGGTCTTCTCGTTCTGGGACGCGACTATATATTTAGTCAGTGTACTTGACCCGAGATGTTTGTAGAGAAAGTGTTGCAAAACGATTTAAATCAGATCAGAGTTAAGTATAGTCAACAAAAAATGTTCTGACAGGGATAACTGAAAATATAATACGACTCATCCTTGAAAATACCCGCCACATCCACAGAAACGAAAAGATACGAAGGGGTTAACACGTACGGTAGACTGCAATAGCAATGCTCTCGCTCAGAACAAAGCCATTGGCGCCGACAAATGTTGGGATCTTGCCCAATTGATTGACTTTTAGGTACGCAGCATCAGTGCATCCTGGGGGGGTATTAACGAGTTCAACATCAAGGTCATTGGCTTTGGCAGCGATGCGACACGCGGTGCTGCGACCGTTCTCCTATTTATTTGGGAATAGGGTGGTCAGCTGGGTTTACCCAAGCCATTAGCAAAAGTACAAAAAGAGTAAGGTCACCTACAGGCGCCCCGTAGAGCTTGCCAAAAGACATTCTGACTAGGCTGATTGTGTTTGGTTCGACAGGGCTTCGAGTAAGAGGGTGAAGAGTCGATGAAGGCGGGGTGGTGAGGAAGATGAAGTTGGGAGGTTTGTTTTTCTTCGATTTTTTTTCTTGTTTGGTTGTTGTGGAGGTTGCACCTGCTGACTCAGAAGGAATTACATAATATTCACGGCCCCGTGACTCGACCGCCAAAAAGATTTCAAACTCCATCAAAAGCGAACGAGACAAGCAGCCAGACACACGACCGTTGTCTCGACACGCAACCGGCCCCCAATTGAACTCCCTCCACTGCCTGGCTAATGTGCGCCATGTCCTGGCAGTGGTCTGAGCACGCGTTTCGTGCGCTGAGGCCTTCGCAATGCTTCTCCCAGCTGGGCCTCAGGGCTCTACGACACCAACAATCCTCGAAATCCTCGCGTCTTCCTGTTCACACTCCCTTTCGCATCTGCCAACGGCGGTTGATGTCCACACCTTCTTCTGAAGCTCCTACCGAAGAACCCGTACATACACCCAACAACTCCTTCAAAGCCGCTCCGCCCATCAACTTCAATGAATCAAACGGGATACCAGCACGCATTGTACCCGCTTCACCAGGATACTTTACTTCGATGCCCAAATTCACAGATGATCTTTTGCTTATGGAGCGCCTGTGGAACAAGTATTCTTCATTAGCGACAATCCCCGAAGCGGACGTGCGACGAGCGGCGTGGCTTAGACTCTCGCAATACAACGACCTGTTCCAAGAACGTATCGGCAACTCTAGATACGAAGAACTCGTTAAAATAATGCAGAATCTAAGCAGAATCAGTGCTGCTATGATGCCCGAGGAAGTCAAGATCGCATTGGTGCCATTTATTAGACCAGGGGAGATTGTGCAGCAGAAAACTATACCTCCGACGGTTGACCACCTTGGACGTGCGCGGGGCGTTGCAAAACGGAAGACATCAACCGCTGTAGTCTGGCTGGTGGAAGGGGATGGACAGATTAGGATTAACGGGAAGGAGATAACCCACGCGTTCTCGCGCATCCATGATAGAGAGAGCGCCATGTGGGCTCTAAGAAGCACGAATAGAATGGATAAGTATAATGTCTGGGCTGTGGCGAAGGGTGGAGGTGTTACTGGTCAAGCTGAGGCCATTACTCGGGCACTTGCAAAAGCACTTTTGGTCCATGAACCTGCATTGAAACCAATGCTCAGAAAAGGTAAGCAATCCGTATGCTATTCAATTATGACGCTTTTGATTCCCAGACACTTCAAAAGCACATTGTACGCAAATTCTGTACAACCTGCTAACGTCTTGAATAGCCGGTGTCGTCACGGCTGATCCTCGACAAGTCGAAAGGAAAAAGCCCGGTCTTCGAAAGGCCAGAAAGAGACCGGCCTGGGTCAAGAGATGAAATTGCCCTTTACTGTGCCGTGTTGTTTTTTCCCTCTTTTCCCGTGCCACTCGTGCATATCAAACTTCCCCCCGTGCTGCATATGTATGTACAATATATCGTACTTGTCTTTTTATGTTATCGTAGCGAGATTACTTCCCTTCGCCAACGGTAGAAGTCCACAAGCACGACAGGGACAGAGCCTCCAGAAATCTAGAACGTCGTCGAACAAATTCAGAATGGGAGCGAAGGGATCAAGGAAACCATGTCTCAAATCTCATACATCAACCCCCTGGTAAGAGATGTTTCAGGGGCTCGCATGTCAGGAAATTTCTCGAATTTTGAGCCAAGGTAGGCAAAGCCAGCCGCATTCTCGTTCATACCGCATCGTTGCGAGGAAGTGCTTGCTTGTCTGTTGCCTGAAGCTCTCCTCTTGTGGTTTGTTTTGCTCTATAAAATCTCCCAGTTCATAGCTCCTTGGGATCTTCATATGGCTGCCTAAGCGTCGCAGATCAGATGGAAGTTTGACAGCAACCCCTGTCTCCGACTGACGTCAGCCTCATCAGACGCATGATTCCCCGGCCCTTTACATTCGTGACGAGGCGGGGTGAGAAGCAGACAGCGATCGGTTTTCCACTGATAGATGTCTGATTCCTCGAGGAGGCTGACCAGCCTGTTGCAAAATTTTTCCTGTAACTCTATGCAGCCACAATGTCACTCGACGTGATGACATTCCATAATTCCTCGGTCGGCTTTAGCTTTATTTGTGACCTGTTAGGGTGGCTGTTTAGGACACATAGTGTATGTTAAAACAACTTATTCTCCGGTCGTAAATCATGACAAAGTTCCCCTCTCGGGATGGCAGCTTCTCAAGCGATGGCGGGGGTGACACATCATGCCAAAGATCAAAAACCAAAACCATGGCTTTTCAAAAAGTATGCCCAGCTTCTTGATTGTTAGAGGTTGCATGCGGACGGGGTAGTAGTAATTTCAAAAGTGCTTCATCAACAGCAAGCCGGTTGGCTGGGTGTGTTGACAAGGGCTTTCTGACCAGAATTCTGCTTGCCTGTGCGCGATTTGGAAACCTCCCCGGTCGGAACGTCGCACCCGGCATCCCGTCGTCGCCAAATGGACACCGAAGTTGAAATTATGCCATTGAGGGCTATCATCCCTACCTTTGAGGTAGCATTTGACAAGTATGCGTTTAAGCGTGCAACGAATTGCCGAGAATGGCTCAGGTTGGATCGGAGTACGACCGAAACCGAAATGTTTAGTATCATTTTGTGCAGAAACTCCGTCAAATAGTCCATGGTCGGCTGGGACGGAATGAATGCTGCGAATTTGAGCGGACGGGGAAATCTCTAATCGATGAGTAGGATGTTTCCAAATCTGAATTTCTCTGGGCTCGAACAGTGGGAAAAGTGCCTGTCGAATGACAAGCGAAACGCAAGAATAAAATGGAATTTCCCGGCTAAAAGACTGAACCCAAGCCCGCGCGATGCAGTGTGGATGGTTCTGAAGAAGACCAATGTACTCCGTACTTACGCAGGAAGTACAAGCTCAGGCATTGTCACTCCTGGACCGTCACAACTTTGTCCATGCGGAACACCCCGTACCGAAAAAGGAAAGTTGATTTGCTGACTCTGCATGTACAGGATGTCCCTCAAGGCGGGGAGTTTTAGTTCACTCAGCGCCAAAGAGTGTCAACAGCCACGTCGCCTTTGCCGCGGAAAAGGTTGCCAATATAAACTACGCGGATTCCCGCCAAAGGAGATTATTGTTATCAAGAACGGAGTTTTTCGGTCCTGTTCCCGAGATTTCTCCATCCAAGCTCGTCAAGAGAAGAGGTCAAATTAAAGCTGGAGTTGGTGTGTTGGGAGCCCCCTGATGATTCGCGAAAACTGCACTAAATCATTGGGGCTTTTTCTGAAACTCACCCTGGCTCTTAAGAATTTCGAGAAGTCCTGTGTTGATCGACTTTAGCTTTGGCGTCACGGCCCTCATTAACTAGTTTAGCGCCTGATGAGTGTGGATTTCCATGTGTGTCTTCGGGCCAACTCTTGAAGCACGCAATTGTCTGCTGCTGAAAATTTCAACTGTTGGAGACGAGCTCGAGCCGGGACATTTCGTTAGTTACTGACAACTTGTTAACTGGTATGGGATGAACAACGAACTCAGTCGATGGATCGTGCAATGGGGGCGCCGCGGGAATGCTGCGTTCTGATAGACTCGATCGTTCCTCTTGCCATCTGAAGCTCCAGGAAACATGATTGTCACCCCTTTTCCGCAGTAGTAAACTCCGTACGGAGTAATCAACGCTGTTTCCTAAAGTCTGAAAAAGCGGAGCATCTGGGGCCCCAAGGAGTCGACACCGTGCGCGGTAGCATGGAGTTTTCCCGAGGATGATACGCTTCTGATGACGCTGTTCTGATCCACCCCAGGTCACCAGGTCACCAGGTCACTCGAGCTGAGATTGAAATCAAAGCGGGAGTCTCAAAATGTCTTTGTTGAAATGCCTCGCAAGATCGAGCGTAGAAACCAATGATCGTCCGAGCATCGCTCCTGCAATTCACTTCACTGCCATGTTAAACGCAGAGTTGCACGTTCAGGGTCGAAATCTGGAGCTGTGAGTGTAATAATCAGGAATATGGAACAAGAATGACATCTTCTGAACCACATGGGTAAGGGCGTTACATTTCCAGCCACAAGGTCGATGAACCGCAGGACAGCGATCTTTCATCACAGCCCAGGGACTTGTTGCGCCAGGAAAGAGAGCGATGACAAGCTGACGATATCTCTGTAGAGGGGCAGTCTAAGACAAGTAGCAAAACGGCCAGGATGGCATCCTCGAATCTCGAAATGTTAGAAGCGTTGTCGATGGTGTCAGTCTGCAGTGACGTTTGAATTGACTATTCCGAGGGTCAGCCAGATCCGGTAACTCAGTAGTTGAGCCTCATGTCACCTGCTCGCATCTCGACTTCACTCCATCTCTTTCTCCCCTCGCCTCGTGAAGCGAAGTCATGTTGCTGCCTGCAGCTATCTAACAGTGAGCCCTAGGTGCGTTGTTGGCTCAAGATATCCGATACTACTCCAGACTAAGTATTCTTGTTTAACTAAATCATCCCTCTGCACTTTGATGCGATAAGTTAGTCCTCACGTTGCTGACCCGGTTAGTTACTGCTCTCAAGGACGCTTTAACACACAAATAAATGTCATCAGCTAGTGCAATTACTATCGGGCTTTCCCGACAGCCAGAGTAACTACTTTCCAAAACATCCAGAATTGGTTTTCAAGATAAACATCTCTTGACGAGGTTGTCAAATGCACGACATCGTCACGAAAAGCAAAAAGAAGTCAGATTTATTTCAGCCAATAAAATCTTTGGCAAATGACCTCCCTTTTTCGTACGATCACAAGAAAGTGTTTTGCCCCGTAATTCCGGGTCTGTCTATGGAGTACCAAGGCTTTCGAGAAGCCAGCGCGTTCGCAACAGACAAGGGTTGATTATTATTTGCTGGGGGATGGGATATGGAAGACCGTCGGGATCACCAACATTCTTTTCACCCCACCGGAAGACAAGCCAGTTTCGACACCCCGATCTGTGGCTTGTCCTGAAACAACTATCTTTCTGCTGGTTCACCATGGTTTTGCACACAGATTAGCGCAAAGGCGATCAGGCACTGCCTCCACTTCGACGCGGAAACTCCTGATTATTCCCTGGCGATGCTTGCTTAATATCCCAAGAGCGCGTCTAGTTCCGCAATTTTAGCCCAGGGGAGACAACCCCCTTCACGCCTGAAAAATGACGACGCCACGGGAAGCCGTCGACTCACACGCCCTTTCTCTCCTTCGTTAGCCTTCTTTCTTGTGATTCGACCACAAGCAAATCACTGAATGGTGTCTCACCCAATTTAGGTTCAGCATCCGGCAGATCTCCATGTGCAATTTCACAATCCACATTCTAGAAGCTGTTGAGGCTTGTCAAGGATGCTGATTCTTTACCTCGTCCTCAGCTTTGCGAAAAAAGAATCAACATGCAGCATCCAAAAAGACCAACTGCCTTAGCTTACAGATCGCCGTTGACACTGGTCGTGGCCAATCATTGAGGCCCCTTTTCCTGCAAGAAACGCTTGCCGTGATGTTAGAGTCTTGGTTGGTGCCGCCAGTTTTCCATGAAGTCCCAGGACCCGTTAGTTCTAGGTGCATCAGATTTGAACAACCAAAGTGCGAGGAGCAGTGAACGAGATCATGATAGAGCCTTTGGGGACGAAGTTCACCGACTGTGTGAAGAGATACCTGAAAATGTGTCGGTTGATGGTGACTGTCACAGGCTCCAGACGTTGTTGCAAGACATGACTTTACACACTATCATTTGACAGCTCGGTGACCCTGCATTTCCGGGCCTGGAGGTGAGGAAAAAGGGGACATCTAAGCTTTCGAGTCTAGGTTTTATAAGGCTCGGTTTTGCTCCACATTTGATTGACAACGGTTATTGAAGCAGGTATGGTGTAATAGTAAGCAGTCTCTCATTATTACAACGCCTTTCATTTGAATTTTTTTTTTTTCCCTCTCCCTTCAAGATTTATTATCATTACTTTTTGGTCCTTGAAGAGTAGCTAAAATATTCTTCTCGCCCCGCATAGCTGGTGGATTCGCCAAACAAGCGACCTTGGGTCACCCTTAACTGACTTTAACCTTAATATCCTGATACCTGTCCCTTTAAAGAGCCGTCAATACTTATATTCGGCATACCCTGCCGACT